ATGGTTTTCAGAACAGGGAATAGGACAAGCTTTACTAAGAGCTACAAAGGACCGGAAGTTGTGGAGAGTCATGATTGCCCACACATCACATAAAAAAACTTCTGCATTTGTCACTTCGCAAACTGGTGCATTTCAAAATTATAAATTTACTTGTAAGACCCGGATTTCCTATTAAAATTTTCTGATGAATCTTAATTCTTAACTCTTAAGTTAGTGACGGAATAAGATAATGGCGAGTTCTACGGCGATAAAATATCTGTAGAAATTCCCCTATCGCATCGTTAAGTAGTTGAGCTTAACAACTTTAACAAAATATTGCAATAACAAACATAGATATGAATATTGGTCGTGAGTACAAATGAAAAGATTTGAAATTGACAACTTTTTCCACTTCACTGAAACAGCCATTAAACACTTATCTTCCCTTTGTTCGTTCTTTCTTTCACGGAAATAAAATAATGTATTACCCTACTCGCCTTTTCACGCGATCAAAACAGAATAGTTCAGAATAGTTTGTTAGGTATTGTCAGTAAACGTTAAACACATTTATCTTCCCTTCTTTCTTTCTAGCTAAATACTCGTCTTACGAACATTTGTCTTAATAATAATTTTAAAAAATAATACAGCAGATGATGTTATTTTATTTAATTTGTGGAAACTGAATTATTTGACGATTGCTTAACTCGGTTTCCATCAGTTGATAAAGTGCGTCAGAAAAATGGCGCATTTTATCTGTCGCCATTGCTTCTTGGTCTTTTGGATCGGGGAGGTTTAAATAATATTACGCCCCATCTCGGAGGGGGGGGGCAGTACCTCTTCTTCGAGAGGGGGTTAGGTTTACTGCCCGACGCCTGAGGCGTACCCAAAAGAGAAGATACTGAGGGTGCTTGGGCAACTTTTCCACGGTATTTTCGTTAAACCCTCTTTAAACCGATCATGGATGGCGACGTGGGCATTACATTTCGTTCAGATTGTTTTAATTTTTTTAACTTTCATAAAAAATCCGATATTGTATGATGTTGTCGTTTCATTTCTTGAAAGGATCTCCTATCTTATTTTTACGTCAACTCTCTTTTTTACCTATTCTTTCTACACACCTACCGTTATCTATGCTTTTCTTTTACTTTTTTTTTTCTTTTACTGCTGTTTATTGTTGTGGTAGTGGATGTGTGTCTATTCGAGTTTCACTAGGCGCGCCCGCTCGAGCGTAACTAACATTACCTAGACCATCGGCTATTTATATATAAGATTATTTTTGGACAATTCAATCAGTTCACTAAGCTTTTATAATTTTCAGAATCGGTAGGATGCCACCACTGGATATCTCAAATTTTATTTATCAAACATCTGAGCCTGACGAGTGTTTCGGTGCAAAACATTTCATTTGGTTAACCAGATAATCACTTGAACTTTTCTGATATTTTTTTATATATATATATATATATATATATATATATATATATATATATATATATATATATCATTTCACACCAAGCAAGGCGGGAATACCACTAGTACGCAGGGTGTTACAGAGGCTGAAAGTGAGAGAAAAGACTGGGTATAGAGGGATTGAGGAAAGGATAGATGGCGATTGACGTTTCATTTTAATTTTTGAAGGTTGTAGTTATCAAGGAAGCAAGTAAACAGTAGGGAGTTCCACAGGCAGGAAGTGTGAGAAAATAAACTTTTTGAGAAGAAGTGGCGGTTACATTTAGCTATTTCGACAGCAAAAGGTTGGGACCTAGGTGCCAATCTACTAGCACACTTAAATTCCTGTAATCGGGGCACCAAGGAGCAGTTGCCATGAAAATATTTGAAGAAAAGATTGAGGGAAGCCACGTCACGTCGGTGAGAAAGTGACTGAAGTCGAGATAGCAAGTCAGGATCGATTACATTACAGATCCTTCTTTGGGTTTTGTTAAGAACCTCGAGATGAATAGCAGGAGAACCAGACCAGATGTGGCAGCAGTATTCAATGCACAAGTGGTAGATTTGTAAAAATGCAAGATGGACTCTGATGAGAAAAACCTTCTGGCACGACACAATGACCCAAAATTTCCTTGCAGCAGATGCAGCTATTGATTCGATGTAGTCGTTCCACTTCAAGTCAGCTGAAAACATGGGGCCTAGAAGGCCCAGATGGTGGGCAAAAAAGTTTCTCTCTACAGTGGTTAAATGGGAGCAATATCGTCTTGGAGGCATTAAAATTTAAGACATCTCCTGCCCCAGTTAACCACTCTTTGGATGTCCTTTTCAAGAGAGCGGCCAGGTTAATATTGTCAGCTCTGACGGATTTACTCTTGAGGCAGAAGTAAATGGTAGTGTCATCCTCATAAATGCCTACTTGTAAACTAATAACATCAGGAAAATCATTGATGATCAGAAACAGCATAGAACCCAGGATAGAGCCTTGGGGGAGACCCACGTTTGTGTGAAAGGATCTGGAAGTGAGCCCATTCATGATGACCTTCATTTAAGAATTTGATTAAATCAAACAATTGCTCTGTAATACCATAGCCCTAGAGCTTATGTAGAAGACCAGGGTGCCAAACCCTGTCAAACGCCCTTGAGATATGTAGAGCCACAGCTCGAACCTTACCGTTATTACCAAAAGCTTGATATACATATTCAGTGATGGCCATTAACACAATAGCGGTAGACCTGGCAAAACGGAAGCCACATTCTTTGTCAGAGTGTAGGTCATGAAAGATGCTTAATCACTTCGGTAGTGATTAAAGCCCTTGCCAAAAAGCAATAGGAGACTAATAGTGGGGTCAGAAGGTTCTCCAGAGTTCTTAAAAACAGGAACTACAAAAGAGGATTCCAACAAGCTGGAAAGCAAGAAGCAATAGTTGTAGAGAACTGAAGACAGCTCAGGAGCACATTTCTTTAGGATGATGGCTGGGATCTCTCAACCCCTGCTTCACTTATAGGAATCTAATTTAGAAATGATGTCTGAGACCAGTGATGGGGTTATGTGCATATCACTCAATAGAGCCTTTGTTCTAGTGGGAAAATCAGCTGTGGGTACTCCAAATGAGCCTAGTGTTGAATAGGAAAAGAATTTCAAAGCAAAGCACACACAAACACACACTTCTGCTTGAGTAAGGTTAGCCAGTTAATGTGCTTATGACATTTTATATATAAATCAAATAATAACATTCTCTGAAGGCAGAAAGATTTCTATAAATTTAGATACTATATTCTGCTATATGTTAAGAGATTATTTATAAAATCCAAAGAATCAGCAATGCTATTTGTCCTGACCTGGCATCTCAGTTTCAGTCACTTTCCCATTGCTGTAATGAAGCTTCCCTGTTTCTTTTCTATAAATATTTTTCATCATAATCTTTTGGTTCCTCTTTGGTACCTAGACTTTTATGAATTTAACTGTAGTACTAGATTGGTGGGAAGGTCTCATCATTTTGCAGTTGAAATGTAACTAAGTTCTATGCTAACAGTTTCTTCTTTCACACTTGTCAGCTGTGGAACTCTCTTCTGACATTGCTTTCCAGCCATCTTTGCATTTAAATTTTTGAATAACAATGTTTCTTTTTTAATTCTTGTTCTTTTATTGTTCTCTCTCTTTAATAATATTTTTATTTTTCCCATATTCTCTCACACTCAGTAACCTCTTTCATTTTTGTGGCTTTATTGGCCTTGCTTGGGGTGAAATGATTCAAAGAAGACCAAGTTTTTCCCATGCACTATTATCATGTATATTTAGGTACATACAAATTAGAAATCACTTGAATTTCAATTTGAACAATGTGTCCTGTATTCTTAGTAGTGTTTTTTTTTTTTTTCCTCATATTCTTTTAACCTCTTTTAGTGGCATCATTGCCTTGCTTGGGGTGAAATGATTAAAAAAAATAGAAAAGAAAAAAAAAATGATTCAATCATCTATAATACTCAAGTCTCCATTATTGTTTCTTTGTCTATTTGACACTTGTTTTCAACCTGTTCTTTTTTTTAAACTAAAAAAACAAAATATTCTTCCACTTGCAAAAAGAAATCAAGCATAACAAAAATCAAAATTGAATATGGAAACATTTTATTTCTTGTCTTTATAGAAAACACGTCAATACAAGTTACTTTAAGTCTTAGTGTTTTATGCATAGATGATTGTTTTTGTCTGTGTTAACAAATGTGTTTCCATTAAAGCAGACAAGATTTTTTCAAGGGGTGGGAAATAAAAAGGGCATTTGTTTGCCCACAACAATGGGGACTAATCAGATCCTTAGAAAAACTGTAAGACTCCAAAAAAGGAATTTTTTCCCATAATGCCATTTGTTGTTAACTCAAATGTTGAATGGATGTAGCTAAGGACTTTTTTTTTTTCCTTAATCCTCCAATTCAAAGATTTCCTGAGTTCATCCCTCGTATTTGTTCAGGTTGATTACAATCTTTGCCTCTCACAATAATCTTTTACACAACCACACAAATTTATTCTAATTCAAATTCATGAAGAACTTTACATTATTCTCGTGTTCAAATTACTAACAAATCTTTATTTTAATCGCACTGAATAGAATGAAGGAAAAATAAATATGCTAAGATTGAAGCAAGGTTTTTCAAAAGGTCAATCAAAGGAGGCAACTTTTGTTTTCTTTACCAAAATTCATCAGTTTTTTTTGCATAATACTCTTTTTATTTCACAGACCTCACATTTTAAATAAAAATTTTTGTTCTTATTAACTTTTTAGAGGTCATTAAAAATATATTATTTAAGAGTTTTCATGGAAAAAAATCATTTGTTCAAAAATATTTTAATATTTATATTTTTTTTTTTTTTTTTTTTTTTTCAAATGATAAAAACAGTTTCTGAAATTTGAAAGGAAAAAAACATGGCTGTGGTGTCTCCATAATGGACAGAACATTACATTTGAATAGTCTTAATTGTTCTCTATCAGTTTTCGATTTTTTTTCTTTCTTGAAGGAATAAAATTGCATATTGTCCAGAAGAAGAAAAACTTCAAAGCAGAAACATCTCCAGTTGTTTAGAATTCATCATGGCTCTGAAAAAAACAAAGAATTTAATTCTACACATAGAAACAATACACACACACACACAGAGTGTCTCAAAAGTTACTATTTCAAAAAAGTGCTACAATGTTGTAGTGATAGAAGAATAAAATGTTCACTTTTTCAAAAGAAAAAAAAATAGAAAAGTACAAAACCATTTTGGTTTGCCATAAAGAAATAAAAACAAAAAAGATATAAAAGAAAAAACAAATAAATAAGAGAGGCTAAAAATGTAGGTAAAGAAAAAGGGATTGTCAAATGAGCCACACCTGTGAACCAATCAGAAAGCAAGAAACAATTCTGAAATTAATTTTTTGTTTCAGTAAAGGTATAAACACAGAGATGACCAGGCAAAGGAACAAGAGAGTCAATGAAAAACATCTCTCCTTACCTTATACTAAAAGACTTAGATATTCAACATGAAAACTTTCTGATATGAAATTATGGACTAGTTTAAAAAGTATATATTTTAAGATATATAAAATTTTATCAGTACAAGCAACATATATCTTCGTATTAATTATCTTTGAATTCATTTTTAATAGGCCAAACATAGGTGAGTATTGGGATTAAGGATGCAAATCTTTGACACTGTGGTATCAAAAAAAGAATAAAATAAAATTAACATGGCTAGTCGGGCTGCGTAGATCTTAGCCTTATCTTAGCTGGAGACATACTTAATAGGCAATGTATTTCTTGCTTTAATTTTATAAATAATCTTTTAAAAATCTCTAATGACTTGTATGCTCTGTTTTGCAAAGAACACCTTTTTTATTTCAACTTGTTTTCAAATGTCCATTTTAAATAATTTATTCCATGCAGTATAAGGTTTACTAGCACAATGTATCAATTAAAAAAGGGCAAATTTAATTTAGCCAGACTTTAAGTCAGCAAAAATCAAAGAAAATGGCATCCTTAACTCATTGACTGGAGGGTTGAGGTGAGGAGTTCAACTGCATTAGTGTTGAGGTAACATGATATCAGTCAGTAGTAGTAGTAATCATAAATGTACAATAAATTAAACTAAAAATTCAGAGAGATACATAAATACACTAATGCATAGACATATATACAAGCATACATTTGAAATAGATACACATCTGTTTTTTAAAAAATTATATATTTTATTTAGAGTAAACACTGATGATAGCTGAAGCCAATGGCAATTTTATTGAATAAATTTACTCTTTAGTATTTCAAGATATTTTTGTGTAATTTTGGTAAATATATCTGTTAAAATGATATGTCAGTGTTATTTTTCATTTTTGGATAATTTAAACGACAATTTATCTATCGCACTATGCGTGTGTGTGTGTGTATATATATATATATAAATAAAATAAAAGATACCTATCAAAATACTTAAAAGTTACTAGAATTTAATGTATTTTTTAGGCTAGGAAAATTGTTTGGCAAGGAAGTACTCAAAAGATAACTACCGCATCAATATTCAGTAAATTCATGCACACACACACATATATATGTGTGTGTATATATATATATATATATATATATATGTGTGTGTGTGTGTGTGGATTTAATAAACTAACAGGACAAAATCAAATTTCTTACAGTAATAAAACACATGAAAAAAAAAAAACCAAAACATTATTATTCCCCGAAATTGTGAGTCCCAATTCTTTGTTTATGTGTTATCTCATTGAAAAAGGACAGAGATGTGTCCTAAAAATATGGATTTAAAATCATTCTCTTTGTGCTTTAATTAAATCAAAAGCCCTAATATATAATAAATATCATCAATCATATTGCCAATATTGTTATCATTTTGTAGTATTTTTATCTCTCAAATTTCATTAGCCAGCCTATAAAACCCACATATTATAAGAAACACACATTGACCATATTTAATTATATATATATATATATATATATATAAGATAAAAAACTCATCCCAGTAGCCTGTCTCTTTAACAAAGATGTGTCTGCCCTAAAAAAACATACAATACCTAAATTCTTAAATCATGTGAAGTATACTGTTTGTTGCAGATGGAAATAGTATTGTCTTTATATTATGGTTGAAAGAAGTATAATGGTAGAAAGATCCTTTAAGTAGGTTTTTAATCCAGAAGGTATAGCAATGTAGGGGCACCCTCTTGTGTTCTCCATATACCATATGGTTAGTGATGCTCCTGAAAAGTATTTTATTCTGTAACAATATTTTTAATTATATCTTTGACTATCCAACCAAAGGGAAGTATTTTGATTTAGGTAATTTCAAAAAAAAAAAAAAAAAATGGGGATGACATACAGGTAAGAAAAAGAACCTTAAATATAGCAAAATACCAAGATATTCTGCATTGGGAATTGCTTTTCTTGGCCCAGAGACTCAAATCCTGATGGAAACAGTTTTCCATCAACACAATACTCTTTTTATCCTGCAAAGTCTACATGACAGCCTGGCTATGATATGAACATAATTAAGAATTTATAGAATGAAAAATAATAGGTAGGAAGTTCTGTAATAGAAAATAAAAAGGTTTGTCTAATGCCATCCAAAAATAGTAGGACTGAACTCTCTGCCTGTCACCTTGTTGCTGAATGAATGTTGCTAAAGAGGACACTCTTAAATATTTATGTACTGCATTTTATGCTTATTCATTATGGACATTTGTAATATTACTAATCAAACTAATTTATGTCAGATGACTCTACTGGTACAATGTAACGCAGTACTATCTGCCACATAATCAGATCATCGACAAGTAAACCAGTTCCTCCACCAGGTTTGTCTGGTGAGGAGAATGGCTAGAAATCTAAAATGAGCAAAAACAAGACATGTCAAAAGGAGGTTGAATGTTCTTGTATGGCCAACGGTCATCTAGCACAATGGAGCTCCATATCTATGGATGCATCCAGTGCAGTGATAACAGAATCACTGAGTGGATGGCTTCATAGACTGAAGTCAATGGCCAGGGCAGAGAGTTCCCCTTGGAATTGATGGCCACATGTCTGTAACAAAAACAAAGTTTCAAGTTAGAATATATCAGCTGTGGTTTGATGATATGTATAGAACATCAAAAAGGTTTATTTACTGGAAACAAAACATGTTGGCAAGATATGGAGAAGAGAAGTGGTTGCCTTTTTATGAACTATTTAAAATCAAATGAAAAAAGAAATATGTTTAAAATAAAAACAAAAAGAAGAAATAATTTACCGCAATTCTTTTACTTCTTGTTTTGCTCTTAACAAAATTCACAATTTCCTCAGCGTCTTGTATTTCAATTTCAATTCCATGCTGCAAATAAGAGATAAAAACTGAGAGCAAGAGATACAGAACTATAAAAAAAAGACAGACACACAAAACCAGAGAGGCACACACTGAACTAGAGAGAGAGAAAGAGAGAGAAAGATGATTTAAAAAGATAAACAGAAAACAAAGAACCAAAGTGACAAACAAAAACACACACAAGTCAAAAGAGAGAAAAACAAACAAAACCACACAAACATATATATATATTGTTATGGCAATTTACCCATGCAGCATGAACTCACCCAGCTATAAATAGAAGCAGGTACTGCCTTTTGGAGAAGGGAGTTTCCAGCAGTCAGCTCTGACAATCAGACCGAACATCCTTGCTGTAACACTCATTTGTATATGCTTGTATTACTGTTTCTGTTAATATATTTGTTTAACTCAATTCCTCTCTTTGTGTCTTTATTTCTGTCTTTTATTTCAAGGCCACAACATATATATATATATATATATATATATATATATATATATATATATATATAGTTTTAAAGGTTGCTATATTTATGGGTTAAAGTGCTCAATATCAGGGATAGACTGTATGTAAATATAAAAGTTGATATTGAAGACAACATCCAGAGGTGACAGTCTCTTTCATGCTGAATGCAATCATCATGGCCTGACAATTACATGAAACAGACTGTTGCCTCTGGATGTTGAATTCAATGCCCACTATATATATATATATATATATATATATATATATATATATATATATATATATTTACCTGTAGATAAATTTTCAAGCAGATGCAAAAGAGAAAAGAAGATAAGCAAATAATTGTAATATCCACATAAATATAGACAAGTTTTTCCATCTAATTAATATCAATTTGTTTTCAGTGCCAGTCTATTTTACTTACTTCGTGCTTGCTTTTATTCTTTCTCAAGAATAAACGGACTGTAGGATAAGCTGAGATTCCATATTCTTGGCACAATTCAAATTCCTCTTCGCAATCTACTTTGCCTGCATGAACAATTCCGTCTAATTTCTGAAAAGTTAAAACAATGAAAAAAAAAAAAAAAACATATAGTACATTGTAAGGAAGACAATTCTACCACATTCGATAGTGATAGTTATCTCCCGTTTCTCATCGATCGACCGAAAAGGAAATTTGAAGATTATTTATAAGTAAAAATTTGATTTGCTAAAACTGTTGTGTTTTTTTTGTTTTGTTTTTTTTCATTTCAATATTTATTTCCATCTAAGCAGTTTTTGTTCTAGAACTGAGATATTTTTTTATCTATCAATAAAGGAATTGGAAACATCACTTCACAGCCATTTCATCACAAATCAGAAATTAACCCTAGGCTAGTTCCTTCCTAAAAGTTCAGGATTAATCCCTAATGTCTGAGGTGTTCCAAAAAGTAAAGTGCTGAGAGAACTGGACAATTCTAGGACCAACTGCATGTGCAGCGTTCTGCATTGTAATTTTATGTCTAACTGATTATCATGAGGGGATAATTGAAATAAGAACTCAAACTTAGGATTTAACCCAAAAACAAATAAATGGAATTTAAACATCTTTAGCAAATTTATTTGTTTTATTTATTTATTTTTTTTTTTTCATATGTCAAAAAGATTTTGGTGAAAATATGAATCTAAAAGATTGATGTGATTAAAAAAAAAACAACTGCATGAATGTCAGTTTAACATCATTATGTAAATGACAATTATTCAAAATTAAAATTATTGCTAGTTTGCCTCCACTTGAGGGCAGATACTACACCAAGTCAGTTCAAGGTGGGATCTGCACACTTATGTGTAGCCAAAAATAAAATTTTCAAACTGTAAAAAGTAAATGAGCAAAATCAGGGTTGGTAAATTGAACAAAAAGAAATAAAACACCAAATTTAATTTTCCGATTCAAATCAAGTGTTACTTAATTTTTTGATTCAAATAATTTCTAATTTGTATATACATACAGAAATTGACATAATAGCATGGGACAAACTTCTAAAAGTAATCCCCACTTTTTAGTTAAAAAAAAAATCACTCAATACAAGGCTCAAAAGCCACTCAAGATAGAGAGTTACTGTAGAAAGTATGTGATATGAATGTAAGTAATGAGGATTAGGCGAATAAAGATTGAACTTTGACTTGAAATGGTTATGATTGTTGTGTTTAAGGAAGCATCCATACTAGTTATTGTTCCACAAAGTAGAAGTTCTTGCGGGGGGAAAAAAAGCTGTCAGAGTAGAACTTCTTCCTTACAGTTGGAATATGGGGTGAATTAGGGTATTTCAACTCTTCATGGAAATAACAAAAGGGTAACAATAGGCCAGTAATATTGCGTTTGTGGAGAAAGAGGCAGCAGAATGAAAAATAAGTCACCTCTCCCCCCACACACACCGAAGACCATGTAAATGATTTTGAACTTGAAAGGGAGAATTGGGCAGCTCCAGCCCAGATATGGCAGCAATACTCCATTTTTATTCTAATTTGACTCTTATAAAGATAAATAGCAGAATTTCCATTCTATGAGACTGAGAGCTGTTACATTTGTGTCCACATTTATGCACTAAATGTATCAATGTACAGTGTAACCCGGATATAAGAGATATTTTCTCTGGTCCCAAATTAGAGCCTGTGTTAATGTATATAAAATAGACCAAAGCCGGATATAAGAGAAACCCGGATTTAAGAGAAACCCGGATTTAAGAGAAACCCGGATTTAAGAGAAACCCGGATTTAAGAGAAACCCGGATTTAAGAGAGATTTTCTCTGGTCCCAAATTAGAGCCTGTGTTAATGTATATAAAATAGACCAAACCCAGATATAAGAGATATTTTCTCTGGTCCCAAATTAGAGCCTGTGTTAATGTATATAAAATAGACCAAACCCGGATATAAGAGATATTTTCTCTGGTCCCAAATTAGAGCCTGTGTTAATGTATATAAAATAGACCAAACCCGGATATAAGAGACTTCTTCTCTGGTCCCGACAACTCTCTTATATCCGGGTTACACTGTATTTCAAAAGAAGAGGGAGTAAGAAATATCAACATAAATTGTTTGAATTGAAATTTGAGCAAGGCATCATGTATTTTTTTTCTAGTAAGTGTGGTATTAGAAAAAAAAAAAAAACTATGAAGATCACAAAAACATTTTAGCATTTTATTATAATTCTGCTAGTTCCTCACTTAGCACAACCATCACACCCTGCCAATACCTCATAAATAATGGACTATTCCGTGTATATCATGTAGAAAAATGGGAAAGATATATTAGAGATGCTACTTGGTTTAAGTGATAAAATGAAAGAAAAGAACAAAGTAAAAGAAAGGGAAGATAGAAGTGTTTAACATCTGCCATAGTCTCATAAAATAATAGACTATTCTGTTTTGATCAGAAAAGACATATCAGAGACGCTATTTGGTACTTGAGGCTACATGAGAAAATGAAAGAAAGAAGGGAAGGCAAAAGTATTTAACAGCTGTTTCAGTGAAATAAAAAAAGTTGTCAATTTCAAATTTTTTCATTTTCACCCACTTCTTAAAATAACAACCACCATTCATATTTATGATTGTTATTGCAATAGTTAAAAATGTGAAGCTCAAATATTTAATGATGCAAAAGGGAAATTTCTACGGATATTTTATTGTTGTAGAACTTGCCATGAGCTTATTCAATCCTGAACAGAATAATTAAGATTCATCAGAAAATTCAAATAGGAAAACCATGAAATTTTCACATTTATTTCTGGTAAATGATCATTTCTACAATAGAGAGCCAGAGACATTATTGAATTAGGACTTACTTGTCTGGCAATATAGCATGTACCAATATCAATACCAATTTATAGGTATCTATAAGTGTTCCTGGTACCATGTAAACCAGTACTACCTGCTGCATGGTTATTGGCAACTAAACCAGTTCCTCACCAAGTTGTTCTAGTGAGGTGGGTGGCTAGATATCCAGCAGAATGAAAAACAAAACCTGGCAAATGGTGAATGACCCTTCCTGAATAGCCATCTTGCACAATTTGTTAGATTGGGCTCTATAGTTATGTAAACCAGCATCATTGGGTGAAGGGCTTCCAAGACAATGGCCAGGGTGGAAGAACCAGTGGACATGTGTCCATAACCAAAGTGAGCTTTCAATTTGAAAGACATTGTCCGTGGTTTGACCTGGAGAGGGATGGACTCCGTCAGGTCTACTTGCTAAAGACATGATACACATGAATGAATAATTCTCCAATATTCAACCCAGATAGTTGGAGGAAACTGGCCATAGGCTCAGTTGTACAGTGATCCTACCACCATACCCAGTCAAGGGACTAAATGATGAATTATGTCACTGATGCTATTTATATTATTTACAGTTGAACTAACATCATCATTGTTGTTACTCTCACAAGCTGTTGTGCTTTCTTTGTTCATATGTCTGTTGATCTGGATCACCTTCAGGGAATTTCAAATTGATCTCTTTATTTATGGGAGTAGATTGTTTTTAATCAACTGTCCATGTCTAGCGATATCCCATCTTGGTTAAAGATGATGTGTAGAGTGAGTGGCCATGGTTAAATGTAAATAAATGGCAGAATTGCCTAACAAACAGAACTGACAAATTTTGCAATAAAGAAAAGAAAAAAGAAAGGCAAAAAATAATATTAAGCATTCAACTAAAAATTGTTGTTGACACACAAGTGTCAATTCAGATAAATGAATGTTGTATTCTGGTTTCAAGACAGCACAGACTGGCATTGGGTTGGATGAAACCAAGAAATGGCCTATTTTATGGGCTTAGAAACAAATCCCAACATTTATTTGTGTGGTTTTGCCTATAAATTGGGGAGGGGAAGTATTTTGCAGTCATTCTATAACTTAGGATTGTTGGTTGGTTGTTTTTGGTTAGCAACATATCAACACCTGTATGGGCTATTTAATGTTGAAATCTAAATATTTTGTATACTATTTTTGAAGGTAATAATGGTTTAGCGATACAAGTCTTACTAATTAACCCATAGCTGGGGGAGAAGAGTAATTAGTAAGACTTGTATCACTAAATTATTATTATTTCCCCCTCAAAATTCTTGCTATCTAAAAATATTTTCTGACTTTAAATAACTCACAAATAGTTGATAAGCAACAGAAAATGAATCTATCAGTAAACTAATATGCATGTAGCTGAATAGTTAAAACATTAGCATTCTGACCATTAGACACGGGTTTCAATCTGAACAGGATCAAACTGATAATATCAGCCTGAGGAGACTATCTCAACATGCAGGAATATTAGGAAATGCCTTTAAACCATACCATAGGTTGACCCAAGCTTTGAGAGTCAGATTTGATAGACAGGACCATTCGGAAGCCATTGTTGCTAACACAAAGTCATAAGTCATAATGACTGAGGGTTGGAATGTACTAGCTATGTTCATGCCAGATTACTTGTTCTCTCCCAGAAACTGTAACTAAGGTCTGCTCAACAAATACAGTATAAACCACAAATTAGCTCTGTGGGTGTTGAACAAATACAAATGCACCTGAGCAAATGTCAACAAGAGCAGATAGGCATACTAAGATACGAGCAGTCAGCTATAAATATGTCAAGCATTCTACACTATATCAAAGCAAAAGAATAACACAAATGTTGGAAAAAACTGCTTAATTTTTTTTTTTTTTTTTTCAAATTTAACTGACATTCCATAATCAATTGTCTCTTATCAATGTCATAATTGAATTAAAATATGACTCAATAACAAGGTCTTTTTTTGAATAGCATGAAATATAATTAATTACTTACTTCTGCAACCATTTCAAACTGTGGCTTAAATATTTGGCAATGTCCACACCAAGAAGCATAAAAGTCAATAATCCATGGAGTTTGTGAATCCATAACTTTGGTGTAGAAGTTGTTATAACCTAATCTGGTAACTTTGCTGGGAAGATTTTCAAAGACCCAAGCATGCAAGGAATCAACATCACGATGCCAACCATTATAATTCCTACAATGGATAAAAAGAAAATATAATTAAACCTCCTTAAAGTGTGACTGAATTATGAAACTGTATAAATTTTTTGATTGTATTAATTTTATTTCTTAAAAGTAGTGGTTTTAAGGCAAACTGATTGCTATAAATGGTCATGAAGAACTAAACAAATTTTTTATAAAGTCTTCCCTCATACTCTTTAATCATATATCGAACATTCTGAAAATTACAGTTTTATATGAAATTGACTTCTACATAATGGTTATATCATAGATTTAATTTTTAATTAAATATAGAAAACTTAAATAAAAGTTCAAGTTGTTAGGTTTATAGATGGAAAAAAAGAATTTTGTTTTATGGTAAAGGTTTTTTTTTTTTTGTTTTTTTAAAAAAAAAAAAAAAAAAAAAAAAAACTCACACAATCTTTAATCATGGATCTAAAATTCTGAAATAAATGATAAAGCTTTATAATATATTGACTGCTATGTAATGCTCATATAATACCACATGTAAATTTTCTATTTAATTGACTACACTTAAAAATTTGGGACAAATATGGATAAATGTGCCCACAATAAGATGTAGTGTCAAAAGAACCGTTTTTTCCCATGCTACTGCTTTTTTAACTACCTAAAACTCTTTGGCAATGTTTGTTTAAAAAAAAAAAAAAAAAAAAAAAAAAAACATGTTTAGAATTGAAATAAAACCTAAACAAATGATAAAAGTGAATTTATACATTTTTTGTTGTTGAGAATTTACAACAAAAATTATTAAACACTATTTATTTATCAGATTATTTATTTACAAGAATAATTTTATATTTAAAACATTCTAAAAACTAATACAATTAGAACTAATGCAATGCAATATTTATCATTTACCAATTTATAAAGAAATGTAAAAACAAATATGTGAACCAACTATAACAAAATCCTTATTTATCATTTTATAAAGTCCAAATCAATTGGCAATTAACATATTTTGTCAAGCATTCCAATAAACAATTTAATACTGTTACTTTTGTTGTCAATTCCCATGAACAAAGAAAATGTATAAAATCCCTTCCATATGTTTAAGTTTTATCACAATTATAATCATCGCTATCATCATTTTTTAAAACAATAAACAGTCAAAAAGTGAAGATAATTAAAAAAAAAAAAAAAGAAAAAGAAAAAAAAAGCAGTTTCATGGTAAAAATCATCCTTTTGACATGTATTGTCTTATTATATGCACATTTATCTATGTTTGACAAATATTCTTTTAAATGTGGATTGGTATCATTATACAAACTAACTTTTCTACATGGTTACTGTTTTCTAGATAATTTTCTTGCATGAAAGAACATTATTCTTCAGCTGCTAAACTTATTATTTTTACTATTACTATGATGATGATGTAATTAACAACACGGTAAGGAATAGAATCAGAAAATAAAGCTGTCAGCAGGGGGACCCTTATCCCTTATACTTACATGTACGAATTTGACCTTGACAATGGATAGAGCCTCATTGTGGGATAGGAATTAACGCCCTGATCTTGACATAAGCGTCGATATTTCTTGCAGTTCACTTCAGCAATGTGTACATTTTCATGTGATTTAAACATCTAGGAAAAAAGATTGCAGACTTGAAATCATGATGATTCATGTCTTATTAATATGATGTGCAAAAATTTCATGTTTATTTTTTTTCCAGATTTTGAATTTCTCCAAAATTTTAAAGACCCCCATAACCCACTGTAACCGTAAAAGTTAACAAAGCCAATGAAATAACTTAAAGGAAGTTATCTCCCTTGATTTAATGCTTTGACCAATGATTCTTAACTGGAAGCCACATGGCCACAAAGGGGCCCTAGTAAATTTTATGGGACGCAGAATAATTTGGAATTTTGGGGCCACAGGTTCAATGAAAGGGGTCATTGTGCTAAAACAGTGTTGCCCATTATATTTTAGTTCTAATAAACTTAAATTATGTAACAAGATAATTTTCAAGATTCTTTTATGTTAGACATATGTATTTATATAAAATTTATATGCAGAACATTTTTTTTATTTTTCATAACTTTATTTTTATTTTATTTTGCAGAACTTTTCAAATCTTTATGTGCATTATGTGGGGGTGGGGGGCATCAAAAAATAATTAATCAAAAGGAAGCCATAAATAGAAAAAGGTTGAGAATCACTTGCTTAAACAAACATGAAATTCAGTTTTAATTATTTTTATTGAAATCAGTTTTACCAAATAATTTTATTAATAAAATTGATAAAATATAAAACATTTAATCCATTTAAAAAAAAATTCAGTGACACTTAATTTTTAGAAAACATCACTTGAAGCAGTCAAGCAATAGCTGTAAAAATATGTCACATGTTTAAGAGGGAATGCTAATTTACATTTGAGGAAAAGAATTTTTAAAATTGCAAACATTTTTCTTTATTATTTATGTGCAAGTTTTTTTAAACACCAAAATATATTTTCCAACTGAACTGAACCTTTCAAAAATCAATGTTATTATTCCCTTCAATGGAAAAAAAATATTTTCCTATAAAACAAAAGCATTTCAGTTTTCCTACAAACAAAAATTAGTCAAAATTTCTGAGAAAGAGTTATCATTTACATTATTTACATTTAGACTAATATCCTTATCTTTCTTTTTATTATTATAATGTTTCAGCCATTTTCTTCATCATCAGATGCTTGTTGATCCAAGTAACCTTCAAGGATTTTGAACCAAACACTTTATTCAATCTACAGGGTAGATTGTTCTCATTCCACAGTCCATACCTAGGTATATCTTATTATTTTTAGTACTGCTTAGTTACAACCTAGTGGATTAAACCATTGGTTTATCAAGTTGGTGACATTGTAATTGTGAGCTCAATCCTTGGGCCAGGTAATATGGACTTAGACTCAGTGGAAAATAAGTAAGCAGTAATAACAGCAAAAATGAAGACAATTAGCTTAAATTTAAACAAAAATTAGTTATATTAAAACAAAAAAACTTTATATGAAAAAAATACCGAAGAGCTTTGGCAAAAACATACAACAGATCAATTGAAATTAGGAGCATAACTTTGGAGAGGGGAGGGGGGCTCTCAATTTTAAAGAAATTCACAAAGAAACAGCTCTCCCCACTATTACTATTATATATATGCAAAAGTACCATGTAACCTCTTTTTTTCAGAAAGTAGAAAATGATACACAGTTGAAAATTTTTTTTTCAATAAAATATGCTGAACTTTTGCACACGCATTCTTCCTAAATTATTTAAATAATGATTACATTAAAATGCTAAAATAAGTTTTATAAATTATTGAACTCAATCTAATTTAACATTTAAAAAGAATAATTTGTGCATGCAAGTTTTCAGCATTCAAATAATGAAGTAAGAAAAGAGTACTATGAAATTTGAGATAATGTACAAAATGTATAAATTTTATATAAAAATATTCAAAAAAATAAAAATTTTGCACTTCAAAAAATGTTATACAGGAACCCCTCAATTAGTGTGACTAATTTGTACATCAGTAACTATAACAAAAAATCAATTTTCAATTACTATGGTTAAACTGAAGAATGTTTTATGCATTAATCAAATTTTGGTACATCAAAATTTTAGCGCACTAATTGAAAATGACTTAATCAAGGGATGCCTGTACATCAAAATTTAAATTTCAATGTTTCTGTATCATTCTATTCAGTTTGAAAATAAAAAAGTATAAAATCAATTTTTCATTAAGTTAAACTTTAAAAAATTTATTAATTAATTCAATAAAATATTAAAACTAAAAACCTAAAGAAAATTTCAACATTGAAAAGCTTGTCACAAACCTTAGAGAGTTTACGCCATTCAGGAGCCAGTTGCTGACAAGGACCACACCATGGAGCAAAAAAATCCACCACCCAAATTTCATTAGAAGCTCGTTGTAAGACATTTTTCTCAAAATTGGCTGGAGTGAGCTGTTCCACAGGAGGATGTAATGTGTCCTATAGAAGGAATTTAAAAAAAAAAAAACATGAGCAGAAACAAAGATATATTCACAATGCTGTAAAGAAACATTTAGATTATAAATCATTAATGTTTGATCTCCATAGAAGCTAATTGTATTTAAATCAGCAGCAGGGCATTGGCACTCCTGTTGTTAAAAGTGGTTCAATCCTGGAGCTGTATTTAAATTCTGCTAATTTGTCAGTTTTTGGATCAGGTGCCTGGTAAAGCCTTTGTTACTTTCAAAAAGAAACTGCTGTTGCTATTCACTTCTTTTGAATTTGTATCTGTTCTTACAATTAGCAATTGAGAATAGTTTCTATATGAAAATAGTGAAATCAAAAACTAACCTAAAATTATTATGGACAGGAAAAATAAATGTTAATTTAGTGAAAAAAAAAAAAAAAATGAAGCTTTTATTTATGAAGTGGCTTACAAAATCTGATATTACCGTAGTCCCAAAGAGGCAAGTTATTGGGATTTCAATTTTTGCTGTCGGATAATAATCTCAGTGTAATTCCTCATGTAGGTAATTAAGATTCATGTGAGTATTCAAAGATTCATGCAGGAGTCAAGTGGGTATTCAAAGATTCATGCAGGAGTCAAGTGGGTATTCAAAGATTCATGCAGGAGTCAAGTGGGTATTCAAAGATTCATGCAGGAGTCAAGTGGGTATTCAAAGATTCATGCAGGAGTCAAGTGGCCATTTGAAAACCATGCAGGAGTCATGTGGCCATTTGAAAACCATGCAGGAGTCATGTGGCCATTTGAGAGTCAAGTTACAGTGATTTCCTTACTATTGCACTTTCTTCATGTCTTTACTTAATGCTGAGTTGACCTTGTGTCACAACCTGACTCAATGGGGGGGGGGGTCAAGTAAATATCTACTTAATGCTGAGTTTCTACAAGCAATATATATATATATATTTTTTTGCAAAATTCTTTTTTTCCTTTGGAAATTCAATTGTTTTTGATAGAAGCATTACTTTGAGGCCATAGAGAAAATGCTATGGCCTACTTTTTATCCTTCATGGAATTTCTGTAAGAAGACTTACTTGGCAATGCCCATCTCCTCTCCATGTATCAGTGGATAAATAATACTGAGTAACAGTTACCGATTAAAGAACTTTGCATGAAGCAAAATCAATCAAAACTGACCACAGGATCACAGAACCTTTGTGAACTACACAATCCTTTCACTATCTGCATAATATGTGCTTCACCATTGTATGAAACAACAGTTTCCTTTCATTCATTAATGAATTGTACAACCACAGAGCTCAGAACTAAAAGGGAGATTACCAATTTTAATGCTGTTCAACATCAGCTCATTCCATTTTATTATAAATAAAAACAATTCTTACCTCAATGAATTCAACCATATCTTGGGCAAAATGGTTTCCATCATAATGGTGTGGAACACTCTCATTGTAAAAGATGGTCGTTGGGTAAGATCGGATGTTATACTGTAAAGAAATAATATATATATATATATATATATATATATATATATGTGTGTGTGCATATATTTTGGCAGCATGTTTTCATTGACACATAGCAATGCCATCATCAGGGTATTGTTCATTACAAGATAAATATTGTAGTGTTCATTATTGTCATAGACAAAATTGTTGTGTTATCTGAAAGTTAATTTTTCTTACAAGTGGAGTGAGGAATGCTGCATCAGTGCATGACTGCTGAAACCATTTAAGTGGAGTATTCTTGCTTTTTTTTTACATTTGGTCAAGAATCCATCACTAAGGTTCACCCATCTTAATGTACATTTTTCTCTTTTGAATTTATTATTTTTATTTTTTTCTTCTTTAAATGTCTTCACCAGTTGTCCTATTTGGTATTTTAATCCTTGATTCAACACGTGTGTGTGTGTGTGTGTGTGTCTGTATTAATTATTTGTATATTAATTTAATGTAAATTCTTGAGGTTGCTGCATTTAATGGAAATTTTGCCTGGTAAACTAGCCATGGGTGTTTTGACACCTTTCCAAAGAATGGCTATTCAAACTTATACGAAGTTAGAACTTAATAGTTACTTCATTCTTTCAGTTCACAACCCTCTCCACACATAACCCCACCATTCTTACTCTGATCCTTAATTCCTTTCCTGGTTAAGAGATGGAGGGGTATCTCTCTCTCTCTCTCTCTATATATATATATATATATATATATATATATTAGTGTGTGTGTGTACAGCAAACAAATCAAGCTCATCACAAATTTCTTCATAATGGTTCTTAATGTCCAAGTGTTTTTGAAATTTATTTTTATGGTTATGAAAAGTGATATTGTTGATATCAAATAAATCCCTCTCAAATTTTGTATTCTAATTTATAATGCAAGGTAGTTATAGTTAAGTAGTTTTGTTTGTATATGATTTTTCTTCTTAAAGTGTCTTTTATTTACATACTATGTATAATTTTGTTTGAATACGTGATTTCATTGAAAATGCCATAAGATTTGAAATGCTACACTGTATCTGTAATATGTTTGCTATCTTGTTGCGTTATATTTTCATTCATTTTTGAATTTTCCACCTTAACATGTCTTCATTGGTTAAATCTGGTATCAACAACTTCTCATATCTTATTTTCTTCTCTTTCCTTTTCCTTTGTATCTTTAAAATTTGAATATACACCTCTCCTTATTTCTTTTCTTTCCTCTTTCTTGATTTCTTATTTTCTTTCCTTTTTTACTTTAATTTGTTTTTTTTTTCTTTCTTTTCATGGAATGAATAAATTTTTTTATATATTTGCTTCTTTGCCTTCTATGGAAAATTTTCAAAAATGTAAAAAGTGGTTTCTTAATTGTATTTTTAAATAAACATTTATTACCACCATCATTAACCGCCTGATAAGACATCTTTAGACACCAAAACAAATATGCATTTTTCTCACAGTAACTTGCATGTTCCAGTATAACAGTTTATAATATATATATATATATATATATATATATATACAGGGGTTGGACAAAATAATTGGAACACTTGTTAAATTCAAAGAAAATTTATTTAATATGAAGTTGGTCCTCCTCACAGACAGCTTTAATACATCTAGGAATGGAATCATACAGCTTCCTGACTTCATCCAGAGGAATTTTCAATCATTCTTCCAATTAAAACCTTCTCCAGCTCTTTACGACACAACGGTGGAAGATAGTGGCTCCTAACTTGTTGCTCCAAAATGCACCACAAATGTTCAATAATATTGATATCTTGAGATTGGGGAGGCCACTCCATGTGTTCTAGCTCGCTTTCATGCTCTTCATACCAATTCTTAACCACTCAAGCAGTATGTCTTGGAAGATGCAGTCACCATCAGGGAATAAAGACTTGGCCATTGGATGAACATGATCTCCCAAAATGTTCAGGTAATCTTTGCTGTTGATTCTACCATGCAGGGCAACTATTGGACTGAGACATTTCCATGATATGGCGGCCCAAACTATCACTGATCCACCTCCATGCCTCACTGTTGGAAGAAGGCAGTCAGGGTTGTAAGCTTCTTTGGGCTTCCTCCACACAAACTCACTATGAAGTTGGGAAGAGAGAAAAACTGGACTTGTTTGAGAATATGACTTGCTTCCATTGGTCTGCAGACTAGGCATTGTGATCTCTGTACCATTTCAACCACTTTTGAATGTTGCGAGTGGAAAGAAGAGGTTTCTTCACAGTGGCTCTTCCATGATATGCAGCCTTATGGTGCTCACAGTGGCTCTTCCATGATATGCAGCCTTATGGTGCTCACAGTGAACAGTTTTAGTAGAAACTGAACTATTCAGATGGTTATTCAACTCAGCAGTTACTTTGGCCGCATTTGTCCAATGATTTTTTGCCACATTGCGTTTCAATGCACATCAGTCCCTGTCAGTAAGTTCGCAAGACCAGCCCGAAATGCTACAGTTGCTAGAGGTCTTTTTCTCTGTTTCTCGAATTGCATCAGTGTTCTTGATATGGTAGCTCTTGAAAAACCAAACAGTTCAGCAACCTTAGTGATCGAGGCTCCTGCCACTGCAAGCTCCAACAATTTGCTTATTTTCGAACTCAGAGAGGTCATGCTTTTAGCTTAAATTTTACTAAATTCTAAAAATAAATAAGACAAAGACAGTAAATTAGATAAATAAATGTATTTACAATAGATATAACCTGCAATTACGAAGTTTTAGTTAAAGTCCTTAATATAATAGGTCTTTGAAATATGGGAGTGGATTTTACAACTGTTCCAATTATTTTGTCCTACCCCTATATATATATATATATATTTGATGGCCTGAAGATTGTGTTCAAGCATGAAACAGACTGTCACCTTTCAGTGTTGACCCAATTGTCCACTTTTATATTTATATACACCATTCCTGATATTGAGCACTTTTACCCATATGTGTGTGTAGTGGTGGGGAGAGTGCTCAATATGAGTGAGAGTATTTATAGATATAGTGCAAACATATGCATCAACACTGCATATAGTGTTGATTCCTATGTCTCCATTGTCTCTCTATATATATTTGTAAAAGAGAAGCCTACATAAGTACAAGTTCAATATTGGACCTTTTTCAAATAAAAATTTTTTAAAACATTAAACAATTTGATGCTAATTATATATGATGACCATATAAAAGCAAAAAAACTTAACTTTTACTGAGACTGACATTTCAACAAATATACAATGTAGCATAAGAAAATTAAATATTTACATGAACATATATCGAAATTTTATCATTTTAAAAATTTATTATTATTTAATATCTTCTTAAGTGATAGAGAAAAATAAACTCACATCTCTGCATAAATTTGAATGTATTGTGCAATCCACTGTCCCAAAGAATATCTTCTGCCCATAACTCTTTGAGGCTTTTCTAAATTCTGGCAATAATCGCATACAGGGAGGACACCACTGCAAAAGAAAAATAACAAAAATTTTATAATTAAAAATTCAATAACAATCAATTTTAAGTATCTTGAATATTTCTGGCAGCTTAAAAAAAAAAAAAAGACAAAAATTGTGTTTGTTTTCTTCACCAAGCATGGTCTGTGTGGTAGGTATGTGACACCTGGGACATATTTTCCACTACTTCTGTCTTCTCACATGACATGCTAATGGATCTAATCTTCCCTTTGGCAAGTGTGAGTTCCAACAGCGACTATCACTCACTTGCATCTCCAATTGCTTCCACAACTCTGACTGTACATCAACTGGCCATTCTAGAATGCAGTCTGACTATATAATCAGACAAATGAAATTCTTTGCCTGCCATCAAGTATGACCTACCTTAAGTGAAGAAGCAAATTAAAAAATATTATTTTTTATAAATGGGTCATGACCCATAGATTAGCAGCTAATAGAAGCCAGATATAAACTAAATCAGAGTAAAGCCCACAAACATTATAACCCCCTACTTTTTTTTTCGTCATAAAAAGAGGTTGTTAATAAATTTGTTCACATGCCAGTAATTTACAATCACCTGATGAGATGCAGTGATACACATTGAAACACGACTGCAATTGTGCTGACATGTTTTCAGTGTAATATCCTAAAATAAATAATATTGCTCTACTTTGTATTGAGCCCTCTTTTAAATTAAATGTTACAAACGTTGGAATTGTACTCTGTTCGTTCACATCTTACCTGGATGGATATATATATATATATATATATATATATATATATATCATAACTTCAGGAAACAAACTTTGAATACAGAAGTCCCTGTTAAAATTCTATTATGAAACTTTACAAATTAAAAATAGCTACCTCATTTCATGACAAACGGAGTTTTCTTTCAAGCAGATTTTTTTTCAGTCAATCAGTCATATTGCAATCTGCCCGAGTCATTTATGCTTTCTCAACTTCAGTGGGACTGTCCCCCAAGGCAGTAACTTTTCTGTTGTGCTGGGAGGAGAGGGCCCAAATAAGTCTCAGGTGCATTCCATTAGAAAAAAGAAACTGAGCAATTTGTTATAGATAGCAGCTGAATGGCAGTCTAGCAAAATGGTGTCCAACTTAAAATGCATATAAAGCAGAAGTGTATCACTGAATTCAGAAAAACATTATTCACTAATATTCATTAACACTTACTGAGAGTTTATGGAGATTAAACAGTGGATATGAGTATGTGATGGGCAATGTTTTATCAGTGGATATGTTGATGTGGGTAATTGTATGACAAGCCATGTTCTTTACAGCCTTGCACACAACTGTCAATCAATGAAATGAAGAACACCTTGATCAGTTCATCCACTACAGTGGTGATAGTGTTGAAAAATAGACTTTTGCCACAGAAAACTTTCTCTATCCAACAGTGTTATTGCATTCCCATGGAAATGAATAGAAGTTATTATGGGGGACACCTCTCATATTTTGATCCTAGTTTGGGGGTTCACTTTTTACCCATAGCTGGAACCCTAACAGGTGCTAACACCCTGGGTCAAGTTGGACCTGGGAACAACTCCTTAAAACATCCTGAGGCCTTGCTGCTGGATGTAGATTATCATTATACCCAAGATAAATAAAATAGAATAAGAATATTTCAGCTTAATTTAGAAATCTTCAAACCTAAAATAAAAATTCTACTGCAAGCTAGTCTAGACCCATAAAAGAAGCAGAACATCTCAAAGAGAGAGATTTTATTTAACTACTGAATAGGTCACATCTGTGCTCCCTTCAATTTATTATGCTAGGTGTATCCCAGTTTCCCCACCTCCTATAGTATCTATTAAACCTATTTTTATTCACTTTGCAGCGAACTCTAAAAAGAGATAAAATGTTTTATTATATGAAGTTTAAAATATTTCAAAACAACTCACTTTGTTTTCTATAAGTTAAATTGTTATTTTTCAATATTTAACCTTTAACCCCTAAGAGGTCACTACTGTCAGAGATGACAACAATATGTACACATTGTCTGCTTAGTAGCACTGACCTTCCATCCAAATAATTTAGATATTGTGATCTAGAGACAACTGCTTTTACTTCTTAAAATTCAATCATTCTTACAGGTGCAAAGAAGTCCACAAACCAAGGATCTTTACTATCAACAACTCTATCAGGAAAGTCTTTTGGTCCCAGAGCCCTCAATGGAGCAGTGACGCTGTCTTTAGCAAAAGCAGCAACATCATGGGCTGTTAAACGACCTGCAAGAGAAATAAATATTTGAGAGAAAAAGGTCAACCTTATTAGCATTACAATAACAAACACCATTTTTAAGGTTCGTTGGTTAGAGGGAAAACACATGCATATACAGATATGCATACATAAAATTATCAATTTCTTTTCTTTTATGGGTTTAAGATTCAAATCCAGAAAAAAAGTTATTCTTAGAAGTTAAAACAATATATTAGTCAATGCCAGATTCAGTTCCAAGAATTTCAACATAATGGTCATTTTGTATCAAAGTAATCTTTATTATTTTGATTATAGTTACGAATGTGAGTTTTATGACACTCTAAAAAGTTGCCATTAAAGGCGGTCATTAAGCTTAATGTCAAGACAAAGAGCATTTAATAAATCTGAAGTTATCTCCCTTGATAAATTATAACATTCGAATTAAGTACAAATGGAAATCTACATTATAATATAAAAAATTATTTACAAATAAAAATAAAAAGTAAACTATTTTAGCTACACCTGAGATTCAAATAGACGGAATGGTTAGAATAAAAAGCGTGACTGGAAAATGTATTATTATTTAATAAGGGTGAATGGAAAACTTATAAAAATATTTTGAAAAAATTGTCATTACATTAACACCATCAAACATAGCTTTATTAAAAACTCATACCCAATCTCAAACATCTCCATTTAAAAGTCATGAAAAATCATACAATATAGGGAAAATATAATTCCTAATCTGTTTTATAGAAGATATTTCACAATTCTAATTCTTCTAAATTTTTATCCATTAATTTTATCTCATTGGCAGATATAAAAATGAAACTCAAAACACTTGAAATATGAGAAATTCACTTTATTATCATTCAAAAAATAAACAAATATTTGTAGCAAGAGACAAAAAGTTATCCCCCCTTGACAAAACAAAAATAACAATGAAAAATAATTATAAATATTCATGAAAATTAAAAACAGTCACATGACCTGACCTGATGAAACCTGCACGAAACATCATTAGTCGGGAAAGTGAATCTTTCTCTTTTTGCTCCATGAAGTTATAGAAACAGACTAACTTTGCATTAAGAATTTTAAATATATATATATATATATATATATATATATATATATGCAAATGTTTTTATACAAAAACTTTTGTGTTTTGTTTGAACTTTAAATTTATGTCATTGTATATTCCATTCACTTTAAATGAAGTCGATGCTTCACGTCCTGCACAACATATTAAAACAAATTTAAAAATAATGGTATGACAAAGATATAACAAAGTGAAATTATTTTTAGAAGAACAAACAATGTTTTGGTTTTATTTTCAATTCATTTCTTCATATACCAAGCCTCTTATAATAGTATGTTTTCAAATGGCAATGATAATTGTAATATTAGCCATTTCCTTATAAGGAAATATTCAGAATTCATTCAGTGAGAAACCAGTACTGCTTTTGGTTGAATTTCATAAAATTTTTCTCTTAAAACAATTTTTCAGGAAAATAAGTTTCTCAGGTCCAGTCGCTGTTATCACTCTTTCCAGTATTTTTCAGGGTTTCCTTCCTAACCTTTTGTTTGAAGTCATGTGGAACATCAGTATCTTGATTATGTCATTATTTTCTCTTCAAGTTACATGTGCTATCCATTTTAGTTGTTGCTGCTGTTGGCAGTCCTCAAGTGATGTGGTTTCTGTTATTTGATACAGTTCTATGTTTGCAATTCTGTAGCACTAGCCCACAAGTTTCGAAGAAGTGTGATATTTGCAAAAATCTACAGGCTTGAATGAAGATATTACAAGACAAAATGAAAACATCTGAGCAAAACCATTGAAAGAAGATTCACCTTCCTAGGACATGTGATGAGATTGCTTAAAGCAAGCATGGGAAACCTTTTCCAACTAGTGGGCTACATGAGGTACAGCTCATTATAAGATGGGCTGTACTAATAAAAAAAAAAAATGAAATCTAATTTTTCATTGAAGCTGCCTCAGTCATTTTTGCTATGAAAGACATGCATGTAAGCATCTGCCTTAGAAATTGGTAAAAATTGATTTCTTTTACTTTGGAGAAAAGATCTTTCTATAATTCTTGGTATAAGATTATCACTGATGAGAATGCTTTTAATATATGTCACTGTATATGATTTTGTCTTTAATATATTCCTTTTAAAATGCAATTTTTTTTCTTAACTAACAATGTTTATTCTCCAGAAAAGAAAAATTATGAAGGTTTCCTGTATCTAAAGCAAAAGATGGTTACATGTCTGATCTTCCTTAGTGAAAATCGACAATGGCTTAAAAATGATGAAAACTTTAACCTCGATGAAAAGTTACAAAATTAAAAACCATTGTACTTAATCATTGTTTATATATGTGATTATGTATGAAATTTTTCTTAAATATTTATAAATCTGCCATTCATCCATGCATTGAATATTGCTGCCATATCTGATCTGGTGTTCTCAAGATTCTTAACAAAATTCAAAGAACGGTCTGTAATGTTATTATGGCATCTCAACTTCAGTCACTTTCCCATTGCTGTGATGTGGCTTATTTCTGTCTTTTCTATAAATATTTTCATGGCAATTGTTCTAATGAGCTTTCATTCTTGGTATGTTGACTGCATGAATGTTTACTACTAAAGTGGCAATTAGGTCTCATCATTTTACTGTTAAATTAACTAGATGCAACCCTAAGTTCTATTCTAATAGTTTCTTTTCATACACTTTTCATCAGTGGAACTCTCTTCTGGGTTTTCTGCTTCCCTGCTACCTACAATCTTCAAAAATTTAAATACATTAATCACCATCTCTCTTCTTGAATCTTGTTCTTTTATTGTCCGTTCTCACTAAAGTCTTCTCATTCTCTTTCACTCCAAGTAATCCCATGCGTCATAGTGGCAATATCACCTTACTTGGTGTGAAACGATTAAAAAAAAGAAAAGAAATTTTCTCATGAAATTAGGCATGTCATTCAGAAAGTCAAACGAGCCACAGTTTGTCCATGACAGATCAAAAGAAACACAAATGAAATCATATGACAATACTTCAGACTATGCAACAGGAAAAGGGATTACCCAGAAATTTCATAGCTAAAGATAAATGAAACAGACCTTGGAAATATAAATTTTCTACCTAACATTACAAATCCAGCATCTTTCCTTCAATTGGAAGACTTAGCCTCGGACTGGTGCAGTTGAAATCAATATAAAAGATTGTTCATGCAATAATTTATTTTGCATAATAGCTTTTAAAAAATGCTGAGACTCATTGGGAACATTCTCGGTTTTCTTAAAATGCAAAATAAAAAGCTTACTGATTGAGCAAATTTGTCATGACATCCAGAAATCTGATATTTTTATTGATCATTCTAATGCTTGGATTTTCTTATCTGGGTGTGTGTTACTGGGTCATGGGACAATGGTAAATCGTAACTGTGGGTTACAACTTGAAGTACATTATGGAAACAAGGATCACTGTTTGTGCAATCTTTCCAAATCTGCATGAAATTCCTAAAAATATAGCCCAACATGGGTTTTATTGACAAATGCTTCTTTTTTCTTTCTTTTTCACAGGAAAACCAGAAAAATGTTAATACATGATGAATATGAAGTCTTTTTAAAATTACAACTTAGATAATAACTTTATATTGTATCGTTTTCCACACAGGGAGTGCTAAAAAAAAAAAAAAAATCATCATGTACCTTAGACATCTATACTTAGGTTTGGTTAGGCCTCAAGATAAAGGTTACCATTTCTAAATTGACACCTAAATACTCATTTAACATACTTGTCTCTTTACAACCCCAAAATTAAATAGGATTATAAATGATTAAATCATGATTACAAACCAAAATAACGTTAATATATAAAAAAAACAATTAAACAATAGTAATTACCGTTTTATTTTTGTATTTAATATTCCTTTTCGAATTACCGGTATGTGAGAAATGGCAGGAAATATGGTGTAGGGATACAAAAGGCAATTATCCCCCTTTGGTCAAGATGAGCTTGCATGGGTCACATGACGGCTGCTTAGTGACATAACTTTATAGTCTGATGAAAGTGGTCAGTCAGTCAACTTCCAGGATTCAAACCAAACAGTTGCATTTTTATAGTTGGGCTGATATTAAATCTGCCTCCCTCAGCCAAATGGTGCCAGTTACAAGCCTTCTGGTGCCATTTTCCTATGGAAATATATCTTTGCCAGATATAGAAAATATCTCCAGCTCAGTCCTCATATAGGAAAAAATCCAGAACTTGCAGTTTCCCCATTTGTGGAATATATCCTCTATAGTGACATAACAGATGAATCTGGCTTGCTCAAATCTGGAATTCTAAATATGGTTTCTCCAGAAACACAGACAGATCTGCAGCAGCTCAATTTTCCATTGAAAATTATTATATATGTAAGACTCTTCTTTCATCCTCTTTTCACTCTGCTTCTTGTTGCATACATGTTATAGTTTCTCTGGGTGGGACATGTGTAAATATGTATATATCATTTTGTGTAGTATAAATTAAGTGGTATAAAACCCTCACTGAGAACAAAGTATGTTTGTCATTTATTTTCTTTCAGTCACTCCATTCTGGCCATGAAATAAGGCATTATTACATCATGCATATAATAATGCCAATAATGGGGAAATACAAGTAGGAGAACAGTCTTTTCTTCTATAACTCACCCATTATCTGATGATATTACCAATGCTGTGATATTATTTAGCTCTATTAAATGGTATCCATTATCAGTGACAACAAATAAGAAAAAAAAAATTATATAAAGAAAAAAAAATGCTTGCTCAAGACAATGCACGTACCATAATAGAATTCATGGCCACCACCTGATTTGAAAAGAAGAAACACTGGAAGTTTTACAAGATGAAGATTATTGCATTGAGTTCTAAGTTGTCGACAATCAATACGTCCAACCTGAAAATAAAATATTTTGACTACTTGGTAATAATAAAAAAGACAATTCCAAAAGGCTTATGGTCTAATGCCAAAAATTAATGTTTCATACAGAAAGTAGTAAAAAAAATAAATAAAAATAAATTGTCACAATATTTAAATTTGAACATAGAAATAATTTGTTTCTATAAAATTTTTCCAGTAGTACTATATTATTTGTGTATAATATGACTTGAGTGAAATACAACCCAGTGTTTCTGAAGCTAAAAACCAGGAATAAATTACATCCTTGAACATAATATGACCCTGTAGTACAGTCATCCCTATGTAAATTTCTTTTGAAAAGTTGTACCATATTGCCCATTAAAATCTCAGTGCTGTATCCACATAAATTATAATAATATTTTCAAATTTAAAATTACAAGTATCAGTGTACACTAATTTATATAGATATGTCAGGGTTGTTTATGTATCTATTTTTTATTGTTTTATTTTTCTCAAATCGTTTGACATTTTCAAACTGGATATGACAAAAAAAAAGGAATATAAAGCAACAACCTGTATATAAATCTTGTGTGTTCACTTCATCAATTTTTTTTTTTAGTCAATTTTAGTGAATTTCCTGTCTTTGAGACAAAAGGTGTTCAATTATGTTGATAGAACAAATATTGTTGCTATATCAAATAACTTTTGTAAACAATTATCAACACCTGCCTACTTTGTATCTTATTATCTGTTGTGCTATCCGAGTGTATTTGCATCTTGCTGTTTCAAATAAGGTTTTTGATATGTACTTATGTATAATGTGACCCCTTTTTATGTCTTTAATTTTTGTTCAAAAATATGGTAATTATGTTGATACTTCACTATATTGGATAAAATGATCAAAATAATGAGTTATTTTGGATCAACCTGCTTCCTTACCTGTATGTTATCATGTTCAACAAGTCTGGGAATTTTCCGTAATTCTAAATTACGATCATCACTGTCCACAAAATGTACAATCCACGGATTTCCTTCCTTGTCTTTTAGTTGTTTTCTTATTTTCTAAAAAAAAAAAAAAAAAAAGGAAAAGAAAAACTCTTGGAAGAAATATAAATACACAACTACTACAACATGTCTCTACACAAGCAACCAAAAATGAACTCTCAACACAATATGCATATTCATGAAACCAAAAAACTTAAAAATGACCTAATCTAAAACTTGAGTCTTTCTAAAAAACTGAGCAACCAAATTTTTTTATGACTGAATTAAATGTTTTCACCAATTTTAGATTCAAATGACATTATTTCAGAGTTAAAAATATTTCAATTTTATTTCTTGCAAAACAAAATAATCAGAATTTTTTAACTGTCATAATAAATCCAGAAGACTAAAAAGGTTTGGTTTGGTTTTAATACCAAATTTTGTCATTTTGACAAAAAAAGTAGACATAGGTTCAGTTTGCACAAAAATCAAAAAAAGGTAGACATGGATCTGGTTTGGGTGAGAAGACTGTATATTTGCCAGATTATTTCTCATCCCCGTAAAATAAAAAAAAATTATAAAAAAAAAAAAGCAAACAAAAATCAAGAGAAATAAAAACTCACCTCAAACTGTTTTTCATTTAATAATTCGACATCAGGTAACATTCCCAAAACTTCATAAGCTATTTCTGATGCTGTCAAACTGTTTATACGCTGGATAAAAAGAGTTTAGGAAAAAAAATTTCTTACTAAATAAGTATTTTGAATATTCAGGAAGATTGATTTTTAATTCAAGAATATGGCATGGCCAACTATTGTAGTACTGTTTCTACCTTAAGTTAAAGATAAAGGAGAGTGGCTTGTCTCTGTATAACAGTTTAGCAGATAAAAATGAGCAAGTGACCCACTTTTCTGTTAAACTGTGACATGCAAATAATAAGTATTTTTTATCAAGACATCTGACGATTGTACCGAGTGCTCGGAAAAGTCAATTTGTATCTTTTCCCTAAAGTATTCATGTGAAGAAAATATAAGTAAACTCAGTTAACATTCAAACGTTATTTCTGGATTTCATTTTTTCATGCTGCTAACCAATATATCCCTGACTAAAAATAAATAAAATGTCCAATAATCCAGAATAAGCACATATATGATATGTATATGGCTCATGTTTTCTTACAGTGAACCTTAGGTTTAAGATTTTCAAATAGAGAATTTCTCCCACAGGAATGATGGCATACAAATCTTCATTCAAAAAATATAGTAAATTTTACTATCACATGTTACTCACTTAAAGCTCTGGCCAAAAGTTGGAATATATTTGCCATAGCTAATTTTATGTAAGAACATTGCAAAATATAATTTTTTAAGTCAGGCAAAAAGTTGGAGCGAGGCACTGAGTGATGACTGAACTCAAAATACTAGCTCGTTATCTATCACACTGACAGGCAGTCATGCTGTGGAGCAAAGACGGAAATAAACACTAAGGTAGTCAAGTGACAAAAAATGGCTTCTGAGTTGGAGGATTTATACATCCCTCAGGTTAATAAATTAATGCTTTGAAAAGAAATATTCAATATTTTTCAACCAGTGGGCCGTGTTCCCGCCACCAATAAAAAACATTTTTTATGATCCCTTTGGAGGTTATTTAAGCAAAGTTTCTAGGCAGACAAAGAAGTAAGGAAAGCTAGATGGTAATAGCCACATGATGCTCAGCTTAAAAAAAAATTCTCTTACTCATTCACCCGTCTTCCTTATCAAGCTATGTGAAACACACTTTCCTCCTCATTTTCTCCTTTGCCTCTTCTTTCTCACCCATACATGCAAAGAAATCCCATTTCTTTTCATCTTAACAAAAAACTATGAACAAAGACTGTAAGAACTTATCTATTATTTTTAAGCATCTTTTTCGCCTTTTTCTTTATTGTGGGTTGATTCAAATCTGCAACAATGACTTCATTCTAATGCCTGCCTTCTGATTTTCTTTTATCAATAATTTGTTTTGTTCAGAATGTTTTCCATTTATAGCCATAATTATTGAATGCCACTATAAATGATTCAGCAAATTTATAAGATCAACTTACCATTGCTTTGCCTTTCTGGACTTCTCCAAGATTATAAAAATACACCCCATCAGTGACATCCAATGAGATACACAATGTTGAATATTTGTCACAGTTAATGCTTCCAACATTCACTAAACCTTCCTGAAAAAGTAGAAACCAAAAAAAAAAAAAAAAAAAAAAAAGAGATACTGATGAAAGCATCAAAATTTTCATCACTATTTGGATTGTCTTAAAATCAAAGCCTTTTAATAAAACCTGCCACAGTGGTTGGCATCTAAAAAATCTCACCCACTAGCTTTCTGCTGGTGAGGAGATGAGTATGTCATACCACAGAGAAAAAAGCAAGACCTATCAAAGAGTGAATGAGCTTCTTGATTTTGCTCCAAACACTGTTCATTGTTTTCTTATGCATGCCATCAAGCCAAATGTTTGATGAACCTCATATTCATTCACCTGGTTTATTTGGCAACACTATGAAAATTGATTTACTTGGATCTTCCAATATTTCACCACTGTTGTATTTAACAGTTCAAAAACCTTATAAATCCTAGTTTTCAAAGACTCGGTATCTCTATGATAATTTCATCTGGTTCTGCTGCTTTAATCCTCTTCATCTTGTTTTCTGTGTTCATACTTTAGATTTTACAACTTTTCCTTGGCTATTGATGTCAATCCAATGGGGAATAACAACAAAACACTTTCTCCTCCTCAGTTTATAGGCAGAAGCACACAAATGCAGGCTGGGATTTCTTCCTAGCGAATAAAATAGGCCACTTGTCGGTTTCGTATGATTTAGTCCTGGTCTGTCTTGTCTTGAAGTCAGAATGCTATGTTTGTTTATCCGAACTTGCTTTTGTCAACCCCAATTCTTAATTTGTGAACATTTTGCAATATTACTGTTGCTTTACCCTATTACTGTTATTTTTCCTTGTATATATTGTTTGCTTGCTTTATATTATTTTTTGCCCTGTTCTTTTCTTTTTCTTGTTGTTGTTTATTGCAAAATTTGTCAATTCTGTTTGTTGGACAGTTCTGCCATTTATTTACATTTATGACAACTCACTCTCTATATATATTATAGATTTCTCTTCATTCTTATGGCAGAGTTCTTCTATGTATTCCTTCTACCATTTCATTACCTTTTCTTGTCTGGTAGTTCTATTAGATCACTGCAAAATTTTGTGCCCCAAAAAATTAAAATCAAAATTTTACATACACAAAAAACATCTATTAGTCAAGTACATAGTCTCCATTGATTTTAACAACTCGACACCTTCATTCCACAAACTTGTTGATACCATGTTTGTAGAAACTTTGTGTTTTTTGTCGGAAGAAGGTTGTGAGGTAGTTTTCAACTAATGGTACTGTTAAATTTTTTGTCATTTAAATTATTCTGTAGAGACCAGAACAAATGAAAATCTGAAGGCGCCCAAGCCAGGGAAATACAGTGTGTGCTGGAAGATTTACCATTTCAACTCTCTAAGCTCTGCAGGGTCTTTTTTGAAACATAGTCTTTCATTGTCCTGGTGGACACCTTTTCAATTTTCCAAGATCAGATGTTTACCTTGAAACCAAATCTCTTCAAATGGTGAAACACAGTTGAGATATCAATTTTCAAATTCTTAGCAATGTTTTTCATCAAAATATTTTGGTTTATTCTCCATGATGGCAAGCAAAGAATTTTTATCAACATCAGGACACCTGAAACATGGTTGATTGTTTAGGTTAAAAATCACCCTGATAAAGCTTTTTGACTTTGTGAAGAGTTGGAGCACAATCTAAATAAACCTTCTGAATAATTTTTGTTGCAGTTCTGACACTTACTCTTTTCCAAAATTCATAGAGTATAAATATGGCGACAGCAAAATTTTTCATCTTCACTATTTAAAGCATTCATTTGTGGACAAAACATCAACATTCAATAAAATCCGACTCACAACTGAATGAGACAAGATTTCAGTCTAGAACACACCAGAAATAGGTACCAATACAAATGCTAGTGTCCCATTATGTTCATTTTATGAATGGAATTAACCAATCAAAACTGTGATGTTCCAAAAACTTACCAACATGGCAGCCACTTTCATTTCACTATTGGTTGACATACAATCTGTAAAAAGAAAAAAAAATTCAAATTTCAAACAAAACAGAAAATGTTGCAAATTTTAAAATTTTACCTCAGATAAAATTAAGTCCCAGCTTTACTGAGTGAGATGGGAATGTTTTATTCCAATGTCTTAGTTGAAACTGTCAGATTGAGTGTGTACAATAGTACAAGTCATTCACACACAACACAGGAAAATGCATATTTATCATATATATGCATGTAAAGAATCAGCTCTTCTTTTATAATATATTGATTATATAATATATAAGCAATATATTATAAAAGAAGAGCTGATACGTACTTCCAAAGATTTGCTAAGAAATGAGCACACATGATGAAAAAATGCCCGAAACTTAAAAACAACACTTTGTTGTCAAAATATTTATGTTATTATTAATAGGAAAAATCAAAGGATTTTTTGATTATTAAATTATATTTTTTTAATCCTTTTTAGAACTGTCAAAATTTTGACCATTAAATGACGGGTAATTTTGAGTTCAGTCACTGAGCCAGGCTGTGGAAATGGACAAAATAACTGAGCAGGACTAAAAATAAGAACTAGACATAGGCAGTGGAACAAAAACAGTCTACTCTATAGATCAGGGGGTGGCCAAACTTGCTTAATGTTCAGATGTTTGAGAGCCACAAGATATGAACAAAATTTACAAATAGGTTTTTGTTACATACACATTAACATTAAACATTTTACTCCAATGGTGTCTCAATTCATACCCAGTAAATAATTATAACGATTGGAATTTTTCTTATTTACATTTTATATTAACTGTGATGAAAAAAGGATCTCAGCCAACATTTTCTACAAGCCGCATATTAAAAGTCAAACAGCCACCTGTGGCTCATGAGCTGCAGTTTGGCTACCCCTACCTTAGATTAAATAAAGAGATCAGTTCAGAATTCCTTGTAGGTTACCCAGATTGATATAAGCCAGAAGACACAACAGGAAGTGATTTGTCTTCATATGTAAAGACTATCCTATAAATCATGAAAGATGGGATATATAACTTTCAAGTTTTAAGTGATTTGAAGTAAATCAACTCAATAAAAAAGTAATATCATTGAAGCAACAAGGGAAACTTAGGTTCTCTGTCCATAGCTTGCAAGTCAAGGAAGCAACTCCTAACTTCCACAGGTGAGGATCAAAAGCCAAAAGCTCCCCATTCCCTTATCCCTAACTTGCAAAGAAATCACATTTCAGTTTTTACCTCCATCTGTGTGACACACGCTGATTACCCAAGGAGCTGATGATTCTTCTGCAGATGTTTGTTTGAAAGTTGAAGGAGACAATTTCACAACTTTAGCATGGATTTTGGACAAGGCAAAGTCAACTATAGCATTTCTACTTCTCTCTCCATAGTATTTTTCTTTCTGGAAAGAAAAAGAAAAGTAGAAATAAATTTTGATATTAAATATTTCCCTAAATTATTTTGACAACTTTTTTGTACATCTTTTTCTTTTTTTTTTAAAAATCATTTCACCCCAAGCAAGGCAATAATGCCACTAAGATGCAAGGTGTTAGTGGCAATTAAAGAAAATGTGAAGACTTTAAGAGAAGGTACCATAAAACTAACCCTAATCAAGAAACAATGAATAAATCTTTACTCGTGTTCAAAAGACAAGGAGAGAGTGTGAACTGGGTGACAGGCAAACATATACTACCTACTCCTATTAAAAAAAAATAAATAAATAAATAAAATAATTTGGGAAGTGTTCTAACATACAATGGAAAGTATGACACTAAGATCCAAAGATATATTGGAATGGCCAAAGTTGCATTCCAAAAGCTAAGCAGAGTATTAAGAGACAGAAAAATTTCATTAGAAACAAAGAAAAGAGTACTGAACTGTTATGTGATATCTGTTCTCCTATATGGCAGTGTATGCTGGACAATCTTCTCGGAGATGAAGAAGAGACTTAAAGCAACAAAAATGTGGTTCTACAGAAAGATGTTGAGGATACCATTGAGCAACAACAAAGTTTTGGAGAGAATGGAAACAGAAAGGAAGCTTATACTTAACATCAGGAAGAGACAGTTGAAATTTTTGAGGCACATAATGAGGAAGGAGGGCTTAGAAAATCTGATACTCACAAGACAGGTTGAGGGAAAGAAGGACAGAGGAAAAGTAGTGCGAAACATACTCGTTGAGCTTGAGCAAATGGATGGTAGAACAGGGTTTGAGAGAAATAACAAAAAGACAAAACTTATTAACAGCTACAAGGGATATTGAAATGTGAACAGCCATAATTGCCTACATCCTGAAGGGAAACACCACATAAAAGAAAATCCGATCTACACCTATTGAAAAAATAAATAAATAAATAATAATAATAAAATGAAAAATAAATAAAAAAAAATTTATTATATAAAATTTCAGAGTATAGGTAGAGTTGTTTTTAGCACAACTTTTTCATCAATGGGATCAACAACTTTCCTCATGCTGTTTTAAATTTCACCACAAAATGTTGTCATCATTCCACACATTATTTGGACAATGATCTGCACTTATATGGAATATTCTTCAAAGCATAATATAATGAAAATTATGCAAACAATATCAATATTGCAAAAATTTAACCAGAAAGTGGGAAAAAAAATATCTAAGCACCATATAACCGAAGAAAATATTTTTTTTATTCATGCTATGTCTCTTCAGAACATAGGCAATCATGGCTCTCCACAGATTCCTTTTCTTTATTAGATGTGAATTATTTGGATTTCTTATGAAAGATAGTTGAGGGATTTAATTCAGTTAGCACATTTTGCACTGCTGTGGTCACCATTCCCCTCCATCTCACAACTGTGTATTCATGGTGATGTTCAAGATGGAATAGTACAATAACTTGCTGGTTTCTTTTATACCAGGGATGTTCAGGTTATCCTGAACCAGAAATTAAAGAAGCAGGTAGTTTGAATTCAGTTTCCTTTCTAATAGACTGGTTGCCAAAAGGATTATAGGGCCCAGTCTGTCCTGTTATTTAACCATAGCTGAGATTAAGAGATAGATTCATACTTTTCCCAAGGGTATTAGCATGTAAGTGAATGCAATGAACTCAACTGGAATTCAAACTTGGTTTTCAGATTCCTCAATCTGAGCCACTATCTATTACTCTACTGTGCCTACATACAGTGGTTTATTGTTGACTTTTCATGGTTTTGAATTCACAGTTGTCCTGTGTATAGATTGGTTGCCACCCAAGGCTGGACAGTAAAGTCTACCTTGCTATTAAATCTATAGGCCGGGAGCCGGGGGGGTGATTCATGTCTTTCACTAAGGGTATATGTGTGAAAGTGAATGCAACAGACCAAGTTGGAATTGCCACTTTCCATGTCAATGATTGTAATACATCCACGCAGCAAGATACTTTTTTAAACTATATTTCTTATTGTCATCTCTTCAAAATGAATTATGTAATGTATAAAAAAGGAACTCATTTTAATACATAAAAAGAAATAAAAGATTTAACACATTTTATGTTCAATAAATGACATCGATATTTAACTAACACTATGTACAATGCAGTAATTACCATTTTTATGGCAGTAAATTCACTTGATCTGTAGTGTAGCTAGAATGTGTGCCACCTGAGGCAGCCCTTGAGTTTGCTACCCCCATTCCTACTGTCATTTAACTCAAATACAACATATTATACAGTGACTCCATTATATATCTCATCTTCTTCAGTCTCTCAACTGCTTCAATCATCAGAGAGACCTGAGAAAGGCAAAAGAACAGACAAGCTCCTCCAGGTTGTTTTGTTGGTGGTGGCTCTCAGGTGTTCTGGTATTGTCATATTCATCAACTCTTTCTTTAAAACCATTGATGGTGCAAACATTGCATATTCCAATGGTTGTAGTCCATGTTGGTAGCTTGCTGATGTTTGTCACTCCAGTCACACCTGTTACTACCAACCTGGAATGAGTCAATGAGATGTGCAGTTATCATGGATCCTGAATGGTATTGCTTTAATCTTCTTCCTCCTTTCAATGAATTTTCAGATAATTTGGCAGCGCCCATATCCTCTACCAAGAAAACAGTGGAGAGATTGTTGGCTTTTATGATGTGTCCATACCATTTCAACTTTCTATTGCTGACGGTGGTTATGAGGTCTTCCAATGGGCCTATTTCAACCCTATGGTGTCATGCACTATGTCATTTGTGGTCTAGCTATATATAAAATTCTGTGACTTTTGTTAGTCCATCCATCACACACTCTAAAATAGCCATATATTGACCAATCAAAACCAAATTTTGAGGTGAAGAGCAAACAGGTAATGCGGTACAAAGTACAGTTGGTTTTATCAGGGTGCATTGCTTAGTAAAATAAATTTTCATTATTTTTTTTGGGGGGGGAATTAAAAGTTTTATTATTTAATATACAAAATACTCTATTTTAAAAACAACTTATTTAATAAAAATTCAATATCTTTACTTTAAGTTTTTATATATACAAGAATCCAGTTTCCAGTTTGTCCTGCAACTGCAAGAACTATAAACAAATTACAAGGCCAAATGCTTCAAAAAGTTGGAATTTGGCTCCAGAATGAAATATTTACACATGGCCAGTTGTATGTTCCTTGCTCAAGTGTAAGAAATCCTAAGAATTTATTCCCCGCTGTTAAAAAGGAAAAAAATAGGTTGATTTGTGAAATTGAACAAAACAGAGTAGGAAATCTTGACAAAAAATGTTAGTAGTAACTTCAACAATACTAAATACTGTGAGGATTTCAACATGGAAAAGAAATGCTTAGGATGGTTCTATTGAATTACATTTATAATGTTTGGATGCCTTGCTCTAATTCTGCAATTAATGTCCAAAATTTGTAGACATACAAAAAAGATTGAGAAGGTCAATACATACAACAGCAGAAATTTTTGATTTCAGGCAGCTGGTCTTGCCTTTTCAGATGGTTCTTAGTTTTGCAACAGATGCTACTGTTTGTACTCCTCTTGAAATTATTTTTATTCCAGTGCCCTTTTCACATTGTTCCAGAAACAGGTAAATATTTGTCATTTCTATTTGAGTCTATATGCATTTAACTGATAGGCAGCCCCTTTTTAAGGAAGGTCTTACTCCTCTGCAGGGAATGCAGTTGGCATATTTTTGGCTCTCCAGACATGACTTCTTATATGTGGGTTTGTATATTAAGAATTTAATATTGATGAAGATGATGAATACTTACAGAGGGATAAAGCAAAAGAGAAGGATAAGAACGGATTCCTTGCATCCGACAGATTTGCCAGTCATCTTGACAATTAACAGCACCGATACGCACAACACCATCCAGTTCTCGAGCCACTTCCCGCCACTGAAGGGGAAAAAAAAACAGAGAAAATCATTAAAAGATTATAAAAACACATGCATAATCATTATTATATATTTCACACACACTGAATCATGTCAAAATTAATATTGAGGTAGATGCTTATTTACTTTTTTCATCAACCAAATTACCATGCTACTGATAAGACATTTGGATTAAACCCTTGGTCAAGGTGGTAACAGGATTTTGCTTTTACAACTAAGGTAGGTAAATGGCAGTGTAGTTTGCCAAAGTTATCACTGACCCCACTTCTCCATTAGTCATCATGGTGTGCAATAACAGGACATTTTGCTGAGATATCTGGTGATGGAACAGAGTGCAAGGAGATGATGATTCATGACTTTCTCAAGGTCATTTGTAAGAAATGGACATAAATAGCTTCAGTTAGAATTTGAATCATTCACTAATTCCATGCTGAAAATCTTTATGCTACCCCCACCTAAATTCAATAAGCTATCTGAACTAGTATCCTCATCCTTGTTATTTTCATTACAAGTTTTTGGCTGATGTGGTCTTCAGCCATTCCTAAGTGCATAGATCATCTCATAATCTTTAAAATGGTTATTTATTTTTCAGATCATTCCTTGTCTGAGTGAAAGAGATTTGAATAGACAAAAAAGGTTTAAGTCATTATTTGCATTCAGACTAATGTCCTCATCCCTGTTGCTATGATTACAATGTTTTCACCATTACACTCTCTGGTGTCTTTCAATTCAGGTAATCTTCAGGGAATTTTGAACTAAACACTTTATTCAATCTACAGGGTAGATTGTTCTCATTCTGCTGTCAAGATATCAGGTTATCTTGTCTTGGTTATTGTTAATCCTGTTCCCACCAAATCTGAGTATATCTGTACTACCTGGCCTAGGGATTGAACTCACAATTACTATGCCACTAAATTCACTAACCAACACTGTATGTGTGTTTAAATGAGTGCTGATGGAGTTATGGTACCATAAGTTGTCTGAATAGGCATGTCATAGTGTGATCGATACACAAACCTACCAGACTCCATGCAAAATGTACTAGTAGAAAATACAAGTATAATAATCTCATCCACATGTAAAAAAAGAATAAAAGTAATGGAAGCCTTAATAATTAAACAGAAAAAGACAACACTCAATAATATTAACTATGAACATGGCCACAATGTGCTGACTGTGTTTGGAAAATAAAACATCCCATACATCCAGTTAAAAAGTAAAAATCCATGATAATTACTAGAAGTGTAGCCGAAAGCACTTGCGATTACAGAACATTTGGACAGTTTCTACACACACTGTGTCCAGAAAACAAAACATTTGTTCAAACACAAGAAAAATAAAATAAAATTTTAATTGCAGTACCTTGTCTGTCCTCTTTAATGAAACATGTATGTATGTTTTTATATATATATATATATATATATATATATATATATATATATAGAGAGAGAGAGAGAGATAGATAGATAGATAGATAATGCAAATTACAATGCCATAATACATCGTCAGTAATCATCCCATCAATAATTTCAGAGTTAAAAAATGAAAAAAAAAAAAATTTTATTGTTTTTAAAAAATGATGATTAGAAAAATTATAATCTAATAAAACCTAAACACATGAAAATGAATTTACACAATTTTTTTATTCTTGAGAATTGATAACAAATATATTAAACATTATATAGCAGTGTCAAGGAAATAACTGTCCTTTTGAAACCATTTTTTGCAGGCAAGAATGTTAAACATTGCAAAGTAATTCCTTATCAGTAGTTATTTTGTGTTAGCATTAACTAGAGTAAAAAAAAAAAAAAAACTCTAGATGTTTATACATTTATTGCAGATTTTACATATTTATGAATATGCTGACGCTGAGGATGATTATGTTGTGTCAATCTTCCAGTTGGAGAGGACCTACCTACCTACTAATATTTGACGTCCTGGATTTTATATCTTAATGTAAACACTAACCACTGGTGATGCAACTGCAACTACTTTGGTCACCAAGTAGGATCAAGTAAATTGGAAAGAAAACTGAATGCTTACCGTTGGAGCCAAATGATGACAATGAGAACAGTGAGGAGAATAGAAGTTAATAAACCATAAATCTTGTGTGCCTTCAACTGATTGTTCTGAAATCAAAAATAAAAGTAGACACTTTAATCATGAAACACCAAGACAAGCATGGAGTTTCTATTATGACATCAAGAATTATCTTCCCTGGTTTAAGAATTCCTGGATGTAACATAATTTAAAAATCTTGGCTAGTAAAGATGTTTCTTCAGAGAAAAGTTTAAAAAAAAAACAAAAAAAAAACACACACAATTCTAAGTTATTTTCCTATAAACACACCAAATAGGATCATAATTAATAACAGTAAAGTTCTCTGGCCCAGGTGAGGTATATAAAATATAAATTAATGCTGTGGTTTGACTAATGGTACCTTTGTTGGTTATTGAATACAAGGCCCCATTAAGTTGAGCATTTCAATTGAGACTTTTTAAGGCAATTTTCCCCTTTATTGTATAATCAACATTCTTGTAGGTTACCAAAAGTCATCTTGCATAAATTAAGAGCATCCAATTTTTACATACCATTGATGTCTATCTGAAATTTATATAATCCTGCAACACACGTGCTACTGTACAATTGCCATTTCTATTCCAAGAGAGAATCAACTATCTTTTTTTTCCTAACAATCATCCTGCAGTGTTAAATCCAATCTTATAGTTACCACAGCTATGCTACCTCTTATGTCACACTTCTATTTCTACAAATGGAGGAAGATGGAATCATCCAATGTGTTCTGGTGTTTCTAATAATATGGCATTTCAGTTTTTACATGTGTGTGTGTCTGTATGTGAAACAACAATAAATAAATCTTCAAGCAAAATATACCTGAGGATGACAACTATAGATAGTTGAAATAAGAAAAAAAAAAAAATCTGCCCCTTGTTAAAATGCTTTGTGTATTTCCGTCTGTCATTAAAAGTGTTTAGATAACTTTTGATTGTATTATGATAACAGTCACATCAGTGTACATTGTTTTTTTTAATTAATATTTTCTGAGAGACCCCTTTTTGCCGCCCCCTCAGTATGTCTGATGCTAACCTCCAGAGTGACATCTTGCACCTTCTGAGGCTAACATTCTTGGCTGACATGAAGTGGAAAGATTGTATTGAATCCATTGCTAAGTCCATTTGCTAAGAAAGTTGGTTCACTCTGTCATGCAAAACAATTTTTCTCTCCAGAATCTATCTTATGTATTTATAAGTCTACCATTCGTCCATGCTTTGAATATTGCTGCCACATGTAATCCAGTGCCCCTGCTATTTAGAGATCCTTGGTAAAATCCAAAGAAGAATGAGCAAAATTATTAGTCCTGAACTGACTTCTTGGCTTCTGTCACTTTACCGCCACTATAAATTTGCCTCCTTGTACCTTTTCTATAAATACTTTCATGGCACCTGTTTGGATGAGCTCATCGCTATGGTACCTAGACTTTATGAATTTAAGTGCAGCACTAGATTGCTGACAATGTCTCACCAATTTACTGTTGAAATAATTCTATGTAACCATAAGTTCTATGCTAACAGTTTCTGTTAACTATGCTGACTCCTACCTAGGATTGTACTCACTATCCTTGACTAACAAATTAGGCTCCTAATCCTCAGCTTAATGGATGTTTTGAGCAGTGGCAGTAGCTTATTTCCCTTTCTGCCAAAGTGCATTTAACCATTAAGCAGTATTTAAGTTTTTTTTTAAATTTCTCCTCCAGGAACATTTTTCTGTTGTTTGATGAAGTGCTGTCACTTTGTTGATCAAGCAAGATCCTGTTTTAAGTTTCTTTTCTCACCCTTCTCACTTGTGAAACACTCTTCTGTTTCTATGCTTTCCAGTCAACTTTGATCTTCAAAAATTTAATTGCAATATCAATCATTATCTACTGTCTTGATTACTCTTCTATTGTTCTCGCTCCTTAATAATGTTTTTCTTTTTACTTATTCTTTCACACTCAGTAACCCCTTCTGTCTTAGTGGTTTTACTGCCTTGCATGGGATGAAATGATTAAAGAAAAACATTATTGATTCTAACATGGAAAATTAAATTATGCAATATTTTCAGCATACTTTTTTTTTTTTTCGTTTTTAATTTTAAGAAAAGTAAAATTATGACTGATCTATGTTGTACAGTTTGTGGATATAAAGTACTGTGAACAGTAGTTTTCAAATTTTCACAGTGCTTCATGATGGACCATGTTCATTAACAAAACTGTCAATTCAAACATGGTGACCATTTATATCTAATAAGGGAAATACAATTCAGCCAGACCAAGGGAGACAATCAACACTGTCCGTCTTTCAATGACACCCAAACACTAATAAATTTTGATGGCCACCTCTCTATATGAATTTTATGGCCACCTCTCTATATAAATTTTATGGCCACCTCTCTATATGAATTTTATGGCCACCTCTCTATATGAATTTTGATGGCCACCTCTCTATATGAATTTGTAAAACACAACTGACATTTGAGTTTAGTGAGGAAAATGAAACTTCATTGACAATGTTACAGTTTTTGTTAATTACAATTGATAATGGTTTCAAGAATCAACTTTTTTTTTTCTTCAGGTGTCTTGGAAGAATGAAGTAAATGAACGAGTAATTTAATGTGTACAGCACTGGATATAAATATTAATTCTATATTGAATTTCTTTTAGGATAGTTTTCATATAAAATGCCATTTCATTTGAATGAATAGAAATTTCAGTCTTATAACTCCTTGTAGAAATTTGCTTTCTGCAGTACTAATTCTTTCCTGTATTGCAAGTTTATCACCAATTTTAACATTTTTTTGATTGGCTTAAAAATATTTCTTCACACACACACAAAACATTCAATCAATGCTAATTAAGTTAAAAGAATTCTAAATTAAGCCACTCACACACATGCAGACAAAAACGTTTCTATTTTCCAAGTATACAGAGCATTATTTGGAAATATTTAGAAACAGATCACAATGTCAGATTTCAAGAGGAACCACAATATCTTTTAACTGGTTAGGGTTCTCTAAATCTCAATCTTCATCACAAAGATTCATTGAAGTATATCATCAGTGATACTAACAATGGGCTCATTGATAATTTTGGATTTTTCAACATCATACCATCTTACCCTTCTGAACACATCATTGTTGATTACATGACAATGTGTATCCTAGTAACAAACCATGTTTAACCTTCATTGCATTCTGTTACTTTGACCAAGAATGACTGAATGGCACCAATTTGTATTAACTGATCAGTTTAACAGTCAATAGGAAACATTTCTTCCCATTCTTCTTGTTTAATATATGATACTGATGTATCATGTTAGATACTTCTAGTTTTCTCAGTCCTCTCGTTAATCAAGAAAGAGAGGTAGGATTTTTTTTCTTCACTTCCAAAAACAGTATCCTTTCTTTTTCTTTCCTTCTTCATGTGTCAATCACAAGATTTTCTTTACACCATGTTAATTCAAATAAAGTTAAAACATGATAGTCATTTATATCTACCTAATAACTCAGCAGAAATCCAGTAAAGAAGGATAATCAACAGAGTAGACCAGCTAAAGTTAACAATGATCAAATCAAAATATAACTTCAAAATAATCAACATTATATGACATGGGAGATAGTCAACATACTCAAAATATCTAAATTAAGATTTTAAAATTATTTACACCAACTTGGTTATATTAGCCACTTTGTTGTGTGGTTTCCACATTAGCAGAAAAAAATCACCTACTAGACAGTATTGCAAAATATAATTTGCTGATTAAACAATGAAAATGCTCACTTCATGAAACTAATTCTAATAGGCAATGAAAAATGGATACTTTACAATAATATGGAATGCATGATATGGAACAAACAAAATGAACCAAGGAAGGTGATGCTGTTTATATGATGGGATTGAAAACCATGAGCTCTTTCCAGAGAAGACATTTTCTAGGCAATAATCAACAAAATACAACAGGAATTAGTTAAGAGAAAGAATATGATATTCAGTTAGATTAATACTAGAGTACATTTTTCTTTGTTAATCAAATTAAAATTGTTACATCTTGGTTGGGAAGTTTTCACTCATATCTTAAAAGAGAAATAAGTACAAATCAATGTCTAAGGACCACCAAGAGCAACCTAGGAAATCCAAAGAATATATCAGTGGAAATGTTATCTTTAAAACACCAAAAATGAAGACAATAATCCATGAAAACCTTCATCTCAGAATTGCAGACAATAGAAAAACATCAGCCAAAACATGACATTAAAATACAAAATTTAAAAGATAATAACCTGAAAAAACTAAAGGCAAAATTCTTTATCTTCAGAAAACAATTGTAATGAAATGCTGATTAGGGGAAGAAAAATTAAAATGTTTCCCATTATTAATTCCCTTCCCCAGACATGTGTACATTCACAAAACTGAAAAACAAGTTCAGTGAAAATCAATACTTTGTAAATATATTTACATCCACGTAGTCACTTGTAGCACATGGTGCCATAATAGCAAACACAAAAAACAATCAATAATAATTGTATTAAATCAATAAAAAAAAATTCTTACGCATACAAACATATATACATATATATATATATATATATAGGAGGGAGAGGGAGATAGATATTGCATATGTCATTTGCATATCTGTTGAACTCTTACAAGTTTGTCCACTTCCTATAAAACTGCTGGTAAGTTCTATTTGCAATTTGCAGTATTACAGGCCAAATGCCACATGAACCGTTTAAAATGTTAACATGAGACAAAGCAGAGTGAATAAACATACTCTTAAGTTTCTCTTATTTCTTAATAGTCATGAAGTCAAATTATAGTCCCAATTAATTAATAATTATGCTTATAATCTATTTATTAATGTAATAATGATATTAATAATAATATTCAATAACACTATCAAAATATGTAAATATTTCTCAAATTTAATGCATTTTAAAGCCAGAGGAATTTTTAACAAAAAAGGTGTACAATAGATAACCACAGTAACAATAGTCTATAAATTAATTAGCAAATGCTCAAAGGACTTATCTTATATGAGATAATTAATTTATAGACTATTAGTGTCATAAATAATAAAAAGTATTAAAACTACACCCACTTTAAAAGATAAAAAAGGACTAAAGCACTAATTTTTATTACACCTTTAGATCATTCAAGACAACAAGCCAATGTCATTCTTTTGTCTCCATCCCTTCACCATTCTATGCGTATATGTGTGTAAAACACTTTACCTTTACTCTTTCATATATTTCCTTCTTCAATGTTTTTCAAATTTTCTGTTGTGATGTGGAAATGAACCAATGAAGCAGTTAAGATATTTTGGATTATTATAAACATTAAGATATTTTGGATTATTATAAACATTAAGATATTTTGGATTATGATAAACATTAAGATATTTTGGATTATGATAAACATTATTTTGGTGTGAAAAATAAACATATTTAAAATATTAAGTTAAAAAAAAACAAGAGAAAAAAGTTGTTTTTTTTTTTTTTGGCTTACTTTCCATTTTCACAAATTCAGTACTGCTAACAAAATATATAAACATATTTAGTGAGTACACATATAGACATCCATATTTTTTTTTGTTTTTTTTAACAGTGGAATTAATATCTACTGGCCTAAAGGTCAAAAGTCTTAAGGAAAATGTGCATCACAACAGAAACCAAGCCTTCTCATAACTTAATGGTAAAGCACACCAAACTTGAAGATAGTTTCTCAGATTAAAAAGAGAATACAGGTTCAATACATGTGGCATATTTTCTTAACACTTTCAAGCTTTAGGCTGGTCAATATTAAAATCACTGCTTAAAAAACAGCAATATCTACTTTTTTCTATTGTCATTTTTTGATGAATTTAATTCTTAAGTTAATGATTGAATATGATCATGGCGAATTCTATTAAAATAACGTCCATAGAAATTTCCTTATCATATTGTTAAATATTTGAGTTTAACAACTTTAACAAAATATTGCAATAACAATCATAAATATGAATGCTGGTCATTATTTTAAGAAATGAAAAGATTTGAAATTGACAACATTTTCCATTTCACTAAAACATCCGTAAAACACTTACTTCCTTTCTTTCATTTTCTCACTGAAACCAAGTAGTGCATGTCTTGTTTTTCTACACAATCAAAACAGAATAATCCATGAGGTATTGGCAGGAGACATTGAACACTTCTATCTTTCTTTCTTTCTTGCCAAATCTATCTTACAAACATTTCTCTTAATAATAATTTTAAAATAATTCAATAGACAATGTTATTTTATTTATGCTAACTGGATTTTTTTTATGCTAACTTGGTTTCTGTCATTTGATACTGTGCATCTGAAAAAATGGCACAGTTATTATGGTTGTCATCGATTCTCTACTTTTGGCTTAGATTCAAATACAGTATCTGTTACCAGCTTAATTTTTTATTTTTTTTCTCTCTCTCTCTACTTCCATCTTCCCTTCTTTCTTTCATTTTCTCACTGAAACCAAGTAGTGTCTTTTCTCCTCTTTCCATGCAATCAAAATGAAATAGTCCATTATTTATGAGGTATTGGCAGCTTGTAAGAGTCATGTGAACTGACAAAAAGGAAGAGGCAGACACAATTATAATTGGATGAGAAATCCTGTAGCAGAGACAACAGAATAAAAAGAATCTACTCCTCTAAATTGGTTTTGGTGAGAAGAAAAAATTACCAACTAGAGCAGACATCTGAAAAAGGCAGGAAGGAACAATGGCTATTCCAAATTTTCCGAGAAAAACAAAAGGAAAGTTCATTTAAGAGAAATTCTTTAACTTTAATAATGTCCTCTGGAAAACAGACAAAATATACAGGATTGATCCGGGTTTTTTTTATGGATTATCAACCCTTTGTGGGCTATTTAAAACTGAAACATATTTCAGATTGTAAGAGAGTGCTTACAGTACCCAGTGTTTCCAAGTGGTCCCCCATCAAGGTACTGATAAGGCTTGGTACTACTTAACTTTAGAGCCAGTGTTTTCAGCGTGGCTTGACTATAAATTCAAATATATATGAAAAAGAAGACCAGATATAATGAAGACTTTCTGGTTCATTACTTTCAATGTAACATATCTGAAGAGAATCTGTTAATGTCCGAAATGTGTATATGCATAAATCAGGAGTGTTTAAGATACATAAGAATATATAACATTATAGGAAAGGATTTATGAAAACAGAAACAAATCTCTACATGACTGATTTTATGACAATTCAGTTAAAAATGTAACACTGACCTGTTTGTTATCACATTCACCTGGTACAAATCCATTTTATGTTTGGTTTGTTTTACGGCCTATCTACCTCAATGGGTTACTTAATACCAACAAGATTTTTATTACTGGTAATATTTTTTCAAAAATTTATTGCTGGTAATATTTTTTTTTTTTTTCAAAAATGTATTGCTGGTATTAAAAACTATTTTTACACTTTCATAGTGTTTTGACCTCAGTTTGGGGGTTAACTATTTGCCCTTAGCTGGGACCCTAGCAGGTGCTCCCACTGGGTCAGGGTGGACCTGGGAACAGCAGCAATTAAGTGGTTTGAAGCTCCTGAAAACCTTATCAGAGTCCTTTCTGTCAGATGTAGTCTATTGTCATACCCAGGATCCATCCTCACTGATTCTAGTCACTTACTACTCATTATATGGATGCCAGCTGGGCTCCCACCAACACTATCCATCCATTTTTGTTCCAGAAAAGGAGATAACACATTTGGCTTTTAGGTGGTCAGTTTTTCAAAGGACTCTACTTTTATGATTATTTAAAATCTCTAACAAAATTTTATGTTTGCCAATTCAAAGGCAGACTGGAGACAGGATTCCTGAAAACTCTGGTAATTAAATTGACTTAGAATGAAAAAAAGAATCTATTTAATCTATTCTAAGTATGTGTGAGAAATCGTACTCTTATATTGTACTCTTCAGCCTTCTACAAGTGTCTGTACTGTATTTGGTAACCTTCTTGGAATTTCAAAAAACAAACACATCAAAGTTGACTATGAATAAAGCAAGTGTGTGGTTTACCCAAGTTCTCACCCATCTAATCCTTTCTTCAATATCGGTGACATGCCAGTAACAAGACCTTTAGTCAAAATATCTGGTAATGGGATAGAGTATAAGGGGAATGGATTCATGCCATTATTATTACAGAAATTATATAAAAGATTGTTATTGTGGATGACTTACAGTTCAAACAGAATTCACAGCAAATATTTAAATCTACCTAAATTAACATTAGAAAAAGAATGTTGAATACAATTCAACTTTTAAACAAAAAAATACAAGAAAAGAAAAATCAATTTTATTGCCTTATTCGAATTCTTAATGCAAAATGGACAGATCTGTCTCCCCCCTCTCGTTTCTTTATTACATTTTTCTTCTTTGTGCTTAATATGGAGCTGGTAAAATTAAAATTATTCAAGAAAAAATTCACAAGCAATTTTAGTCTATGCAATGCCAAATAACATTGAAAATTGTATAAATAAAAATAAGATTTGAACTTACCAAAATCAGAAAGACTAAGGGTTATAATTTCTGGATCTTCATCATAAATGCCTGAAAGAAGAAAACAAAATAAACTTTCTTCAGATTAAAAAAAAAAAAAAAATAATGAATACAAATTCAGAAAGGTTCAAAGAGATAAAAATGGACCAGTTTCTGATGCCATGATTTAAAATGCATACAGTTTCTTTTTTTTTTTAAATTTCTTTTGTATTTAAAAGAGATGTTTGTAGGTGAATAAAATACTCGCATACTAATCACTCACATGTTTTTCTTCCCTTTCTCTATAATGGGCTGACCATAAGCATGATCACAAGATCATGATTGATTCATTCATTTTCTACAGCTTATCAACCCCTTGCAGGTTATTTAAAGGCAGAAAATATTTTTAGATTTTTTTTTTATAGGAGATAATTATGGTTTAGTGATATAAGTCTTACTAATTAAGCTACTAATTAAGCTGAGGGTTGAAGAAGTGAATTCATACCTTTCCCAAGTCTATTTGCAAAAGTGAACATAATAAATCCAACAAGAATTGAAAGTCTGCTCTCCAATTAACAATTCCAAGCTAACACCACCTGCACATCCAAGCATGCAGAACCTGGTATTCCCAAATGATCACCCATCTAGGTACTGACCAGACTTAATGTTGCTTAACTTTGGGGATTGTAAGAGAACTGGTGTTTCAACATGATGTGAGTGTAAGCTTCAGTAAATTTCAAACATTTGGTATGTATATTAAATAGTTAAAGATCAAATGCAGATCAAATATGGATCAGAATCTGACAGGATAAGATAAAGAACAAATAGTGAAACATTTATCAACCTAACATGTTTCATTTTTATTAAAGCTTCTTCAACCTTCAGAGATCAAGTAAAAACAGACAAAAAAACACAACTTTGGTATTTTCAATTTTGTTTGGATTGATTCTCAAAGAACAAAAGAGAGATTTATGTTTGGACAATCATTCTAGCAGGAACAACACTGGACAGAACTTTGATTTTACTAATGCCACCCTAATTAAAAAAAAAACATAATTCTTTAAGGAGAAAAGGAGAAAATACTTTGCAAGCTTAATAACATAATTACAAACTATAAACAGGTGCCTAAAACATCTTTGAATCCATTCTTACAGAATCTAACTTAAGAGCACATACATAAAAACAGCTCCAGATTAACAGAATTACCACCCCACCCCACTACACCCCACAAAGTGAAAACATTAGAACTCCCACACACATACACACAAAATTACAAATTTCAGACAATTTCTGATGGAATTTCCTCCTTGTCTGAGAAGGATCATTTGTAACTTGGAAAAGTTGATCAGCATAATTAATCAACACAAAAATGTCTCTTGTTTTTAATAGTATTTGACTTAAAGAACATTTGCTGCCTAACTACATAGGATATATTAGTATGCTAACTCCATTTATGTAACTGTTTATTGACTGTGAAATCAGGTAACATATGGCCTCAGCTAAATTACTGCTGTAAAAAGTCTGTGGGGGAAGGAAACTTACAAGCTGTTTACAATAATTTTTAAATTTTTTTCTGCTGCCCTACACCTTTCTTCAGGTGATATACATATATCACCTGAAGGAGGTCAGAGTGTACAATGGCTGAAATGTTGTGAATATGGCAATAAAGATGAGGACAACAGTCTGAAAGATGAAAATAGCATAAATATTTACAATACCTCATCTCAGAAATATAGGCAGATATTGTAGGAGAAAAAGGTATTTTCTTTTTTCTGAGAAGTCTAACAGAAAAATTAATTATAAAAAACAATGTTACATTATATAAAGGATCTATAAAAATGGCTTGTCTGTCTGAGTTTGATCCTTATTAAGTGCTCTATAATTGTTGCCTTAAGCCAGATTGAGTAAATAAATTTTTTTTTTTAAAGAACTCATTTCCACTATAATTATAAATATTTATAAGCATGTAATAAATTTTACATACAAACTTTTTATTTTCTTTTTAGAAAGTTAGTATGAAAATTTAATAAAAAAAAAAAAAACCTTCAAGAATATATCTTAAAATTGATATGCAAATTTGAGGTAGGCTTAATGTTTACCCAAATGACACAGACCAAAGTTAGAGTAGGTTTGATGTTTACTCAAATACCATATACTTCCAATATATTTTTTTATTTTACTTCACTGCAATATATTATTATTAAATGTAAATAGGTGGGGATCTTATGCCATCCAACAGAGTAGCTCTATAAATATATTTAACCCTTTGCTTGTCCAGGGCATTTTCGTCTCTACTATCCAAACATTCATACTTGTTTTCAGCTTTATAACTATTGCAAGGCAACTCAGCTTATTTGGCAAATAGAATTTGCTGATATTGTTTCCACATAATAAAAACCTGTACATCACATGTAATGCACAAAATGTACAAATCATAAGTTATTTATACTATGCTCTATACATCACATGATGCACAGGTTTTTATTATGTGATACACCATATATCAGCACATTCTATTTGCTAAATAAGCTGAGTTGTCTTGCAATAGGTATAAATCTGAAAACATGCAAACATTCTGTGGTCATATAGGATGCACAAAACATTAGATTAGGCCTTTCTTCAGATGTTCTGGCATGTTCTAGATTTCTTTGAACCGATTGATCCTCAGTCATTGCCTATAAATTGGATAGAGATGGTATTTTATCCTGGTGTATATTTGGAATATTGTATTTAGTTATAAAGTACTACCTAAATTGATATAGTTATAGGCACTAGAGCTTGTCATGGCCAGCCGACTTATCAGATCAGGACTCTCCAAACGCTTGTCAAGTTCAAGTAAGGGCCAAAGTGGTGTGTTGAGAATCAGAAGTAACTGACTCCTGAAGGCCTCAACCACTAGGATTTCATCCCCAAACATTACAGGTTGCCACCCACAGCAAACAGGTGGGCCTCATTGATTGGGGGGGGTCTTACCTCTCTGTAGAGGTGTAATCGTATGTATTCTGAAGCCCAAGCTGACAAGGCATTGTTCTTCTTGACTAGTTGGCAAACAAAGTTAGAGATCCCAGTCTGCTCTGCTATTTAACCCATAGGTTGTGAGAGAAGAGACATGTTCATACCTTCCCCAAGGGTAATTTTAATTCAATTAACTTGACTCGCTGATTTCTTTCCATGCCACTAACCATTACACTACATGGATATCCTTATTGATATTAAAAATCAATGTTGACGCTAAAAGAGGAAAAAAAAAAACAGGCTAACCCCAAATTTTTGATTTTATGCAATCCATTGTGGTTTAGAAATCATGTTCATTCTACCCCAGTGTAAAACAAACTGTTTCTGGTGAAAATTGAGTATAAAAAAAAAATATAACTCCAAACTACTAAGTTAATTATTAAGCTTTTTGTAAAAGAAATTATAAATGTTTATATATTGTGAAATGCTTCCTATTTAAATTTAAATTTTTGTTTATTTTGGAATACAAGCTACTTGATTTTTATATATCATCTATAAAATGAGACAGCTTGGGAATGGAACTCAAGCATAAACATGATATCCCTTTACATTTCATAACACAGCTTATACATATACCCTGAAGGTATTTTTATATCAGTAGCATATGTTCAATTCCATCAATACATAACTGAGGACTTTTTGACATTTCAAAGGATATCTTTACTGAGCACGAATCATCTGGCAAGTAATCCGCAAATGAAGATGTTGCTGTGATGATCTCTAACAAAAAACTGGTGCCAACACAGGCTACATAGCTGGGCTGGGAAACACTGACCCAGGGCAGATGAGATCATTTACACCAGCTGAACATCACATAGGAACCTTACCAGTGCTTTCTCAACAGAAAGAGAGGAGATAATGACAGTAGGTATACAAGCCAAGAAATATCTCTGGGCCCATCTAACTCTGGACTAGGTTTATTTCTAAAGAATTAACAGAAATATTTTTAGTCCAACATGCAAATAGATGTCCCATATTTATTTATTTATTTATTTATTAAACAGTATGTATTATGCCTATTGGCCTGGGCATTCAAGAAATCTTAGTAAAGAAAATGTCTTCCTTCCAGGGATCAAACCTATGTCCCCCTTTGTAGGGGAAACCACCATTTGATCCAGTGTGCTTTACAGCTTGGCTTTGAAGAATGTTACAGCAAGGGATACAATAATTTGATAAGTTTCCTGAATGCACTAATCATCAGGCACAAACTGAAAACTGTCAAGTGGATTAAACTCAGAGTTGTACTAAATGGGGAAGAACAAATGCATATTTATTCTTAGTATATATTTAAGCTTTGTTATTTATTTTATATCAATCACTGTTTTATTACTACCAGCAATCATTGTGCAATATATATATGTATATATGTGTGTGTGTGTGTGTGTTGAATTTTGCACAGCAATTTTTCATCTATACAAGTTAATAATAAAGGAAAGTTCTTTAAGGATTTTTGTTTATTTTTATATATTTTGAACTGTTTTCTTAGTTTCTGGAAAAACTTTAAATACAAATTGTCCTATGTCAGAGTAATTTCTGTTTTCATAAACCATGATCAAAGAGTTTTGTTCAATAATGTTGCGGCTATATCATGTTTTCATGTTCTGTGTCTTTTTTCAAACTATGTATTATAAATGTTTTTTTCACCATTATCTTTGTTCATATTCTTTCTTGCATTGCAAATTTGAAATATGAGAAAATCCGCAGTCAACTGCTGAAACCTACTGATTAGTGGAGCAAACGATTACAAAAATATTTGTCTGTGAAACTCCAGAGTCAAGATACTGAATATAATGATAAGTTTTTTATATATATATATATATATATATATATGGGGTGATGATATACACATTTTTATAGATCAAAAACAGTTTTGGAGGAAAGATGTATGACAAAAAGTAAAACATTTTCGTGTGACGTGTTTCGGCCCTTAGAACATCATCAGACTAGGTATGTTTAACATTGATGCAACTACACACACATAATTAAGAGATGTTTAGGAATTTTATATATATATATAATATATATATATATATATATATATATATATATATATATATATATATATATATATATATATATATATATAATATATATATATATATATTATATAAATAATGGATTTTATTTTTAATTCAACATTTTTATTACTTTAAATTTTATTATAGTGGACACTTGTATTTCAAATAAATGGCAAGTTTTATTTTATTTTTAAACTGTCCACCAGTTTGCACAATTGAGAAATCATAATAAAGAAAATATATTCTCAAGTGAGCACATTTTCTTTATTGAAATTTCAAACTCCCTACTGACATCTTATATAAGTGCACATTGAAGGCAACACCCAGTGGCAAGTCTGGGTGTTATATATCAACTTTTATATTTACATATCCTATATCCCTTGAACATTGAGTAATTTAACCCATAAATATAGCATACCTTAAAACATATATATATATATATATATATATATATATATATATATATATATATATATATACACACACACACACACAATTTTTACAATATGTAACATCCTAAACTAAGTGCCTTCCAAAGCATGATGGTCAGCAAGAGCTCATAAGCTCAGTGAACTCACATGACCAAACAAGACAGACCAGAACTTGATCTGACATATAAACTGAAAATAAACAAAACACACATGAAAACTAAGAAAATTGGGAAAAAGAAGGGAATATT